TCTCTCTCTCTTTCATCTATCTATCTGTCTACCTGGCTATCTGTCTGTCTATCTATCTATCTATCTATCTGTCTGTCTGTGTCTGTCTGTCTGTTTATCTGTCTATCTGTCTATCTGTCTATCTGTCTATCTTGCTATCTGTCTATCTGTCTATCTGTCTACCTGTCTACCTGTCTATTTGTGGTGCAGTGTCATTCAGTGCAATGTAGAGTAGTGAAATGTAGTGTGGTGGTGTAGTGGAGTGTATCATGTCATCATGTCGCCGTCGGATATGTTTGGATCAAAGCATTTCGCCACTGGGTGTGCCACGATGAACATAAACGTTAACATCATGCTGACCCCTATTCATATCATTCGCATGGCACCTATCTCACTAGAATTTACCAAAGAACATAAAACATCATTTTTTCGGGGTTGCGCTTCATCTCGCCTCGATGAAGCACAGCCAAGTGCTTGGGAGCACAACCAAAGTCATTTATCGCACAAAAATGAGCTTGGTTGCGCCCCCAAACGCTGGGTTGCGCTTCATCTCCCCTCGATGAAGCACAACCTTGGAAAAAGATATTTTTTTTTATCTTCTTTGGTAAATTTATGTCTTCCAGACCATAGATTATTTTGCCTGTCGAAAAACTTGAAAGAAAGCGTGAAAAAACAAAAAATGTAACTCTTGTTTCATTTTTCCCTTTGAGCCTCTCCGTGTTTTTCCTTTCTTTTTTCTCCTTTTATTCTGCTTTTGTGTTTTTTAGATTTGCTGCTTTGCTTTTTCGCTTTTCCGACGTTGATACTTTTTTTCGCTTTTTTCGCGTTTTTCGCGAAGTTAGAATATGCTACGGTCTGGATGACATAAATTTACCAAAGAAGATAAAAAAAATATCTTTTTCCAAGGTTGTGCTTCATCGAGGCGAGATGAAGCGCAACCTAGCGTTTGGGGGCGCAACCAAGCTCATGTTTGTGCGATAAATGACTTTGGTTGTGCTCCCAAGCACTTGGTTGTGCTTCATCGAGGCGAGATGAAGCGCAACCCCGAAAAAATGATGTTTTCTGTTCTTTGGTAAATTCTAGTGAGATACGTGCCAAACGAATGATAGTAGTAGTAGTCGTAGTCGTAGTCGTCGTCGTCGTAGTAGTAGTAGTAGTCGTAGTAGTAGTAGTAGTAGTAGTAGTAGTAGTAGAAGTAGTAGTAGTAGTAGTAGTACTACGGCCAGGACGGATGTGCTGCCCGGGAAAGTGTGTTTTGACTTCGCAGGGCCAATGTTTTGTGAGATTCCCCGTGTCGTTCGTTTGGGCAAACGGATGACGCATTTTTCCCTCATTTCATCAACATCATCATCATCATCAGCATCATCAGCAACAACATCAACATCATCAACATCATCAACATCCCAATTGACTGTAAAGTTTAACGGGGGTGGGAGTTTACTATTCCCTAATACCCTTGTTGATCTTCCCAATTAAATGCAAAGTTTAACGGGGATGGGAGTTTAATATTCCCTAATACCCTTGTTGATCTTCGCAATTGAATGTAAAGTTTAACGGGGGTGGGAGTTTAATATACCCTAATACATTTGTTGATCTTCCCAATTGAATGCAAAGTTTAACGGGGGTGGGAGTTTCATATTCCCTAATACGCTCGTTGATCTTCCCAATTCAATGTAAAGTTTAACCGGGGTGGGAGTTTAATATTCCCTAATACCCTTGTTAGTGGGAGAACCTCCACAGAGTCAACCCCTAACTTGTTTGACCCTCTGGAGGCCCCTCCACCGGGTCCACGTATTCGGAGTTCGGAACGTACTTGTACAGAACAAAAAACGATACTTTATGTATACTTAGTAGAAATCACAAGGTCAACAACTAACCAAAAACATTAGTTTCTGTGGACCCGGTTGGACTTTATGTAAACTTGCTAGAAATCACAAGAAGTCAACAACTAACCAAAAACAATAGTTTCTGTGGACCCGGTGGGAGAGCCTCCACAGAGTCAACTCCTCACTTGGCTGACCCTCTGGAGGCCCCTCCACCGGGCCCACCTATTCGGAGTTCGGAACGTAATTGTACAGAACAAAAAACGATATTTTATGTATACTTGGTAGAAATCACAAGGTCAACAACTAACCAAAAACATTAGTTTCTGTGGACCCGGTTGGACTTTATGTAAACTTGCTAGAAATCACAAAGGCAACAACTAACCAAAAACAATAGTTTCTGTGGACCCGGTGGGAGAGCCTCCACAGAGTCAACCCCTCACTTGGTTGACCCTTTGGAGGCCCCTCCACCGGGTCCACGTATTTGGAGTTCGGAACGTCATTGTACAGAACAAAAAACGATACTTTATGTAGTCGTGGCGGAAGCGCCTCCACAGCGTCAACAACTAGCTCAGTCGACTCCCTGGAGGCCCGTCCAACGAGTCCGCGTGCTGACAACACGGTATACCTACAAGAATAACGATTCACCAACAACAAGCACACAAACATTCCAGCTGCTTGGGTGAGCTTTTCAAACTCCAAAAGTTTCTTTCCAACCGATTCTTGTCCAAAATGCCTACCTTATACATCTAACGTTAGAAATCGGCAAACTCTTCAACGCAATTTCCACGAAGTCATGAATCCGCTTGTTGATCTTCGCAATTGAATGTAAAGTTTAACCGGGGTGGGAGTTTAATATTCCCTAATACCCTTGTTGATCTTCCCAATTCAATGTAAAGTTTAACAGGGGTGGGAGTTTAATATTCCCTAATACCCTTGTTGATCTTCCCAATTGAATGTAAAGTTTTAACAGGGGTGGGAGTTTAATATTCCCTAATACCCTTGTTGATCTTCCCAATTGAATGTAAAGTGTAACGGGCCTGGGCGTCGTAGTAGTAGTAGTAGTAGTAGTAGTAGTAGCAGTAGTAGTAGTGGTAGTGGTAGTGGTAGTGGTAGTGGTAGTGGTAGTGGGTAGTAGTAGTAGTAGTAGTAGTAGCAGTCGTAGTAGTAGAAGGAATAGTAATAGTAGTAGTAGTAGTAGTAGTAGCAGTAGTAGTAGTAGTAGTCGTCGTCGTAATAGTAGTAGCCGTAGTAGTAGTAGTAGTCGTCGTCGTCGTCGTCGTCATAGTAGTAGTAGTCGTAGTAGTAGAAGTAGTCGTCGTCGTAGTAGTAGTAGTCGTCGTCGTCGTAGTAGTAGTCCTCATAGTAGTAGTAGTAGTAGACCTCATAGTAGTAGTAGTAGTAGTAGTAATAGTAGTAGTAGTAGTACTAGTACTAGTACTAGTATTAGTAGTAGTACTAGTAGTAGTAGTAGTAGTAGTACTAGTACTAGTACTAGTACTAGTACTAGTACTAGTACTAGTAGTCGTCATAGTAGTAGTTGTAGTCGTAGTAGTAGTAGTAGTAGTCGTCGTCGTCGTCGTCGGCGTGCTTGCGTTACAAACAGTCGCACCTTCTCTTGCCTCTCCCTCCTGTCTTTTCCCCCCTACCTTTCGTCCCCCCCCTCTCAAGTACTGATATCGCGACTCAACAGCAATTCGTTGATTTGAAATGCAATCTACATATATATAACACATCAAAACACCTCCATTGATCGTGGAACCGATGCCAATTAGCAACAAGCGAATTCAGCGAGCAGCAAACTCTTTGTAGCTGCTAGGACAGCGGACCCAGAGGAAACAGAACTTTGGCTTTGGCAACTGAGTTATTAGATTGTGATGTGGTGTGGATATGTCACATTATCATTAAATATCATTAGTGTGGTGTGGGCTATTCCCCCATTCCAATGCATTTATCACTCATTTTCACATTGAAATGGCCATGTTTGCGCAAACCCCATGTTGGCCAAGTTTGCCGCTGAGCCTGGTGTTTCTTCAAGGATGTAATATGGAGGGTTCAATTCAGTCAAACCTCACGCCTCATGACCAAGCGGTTGAGAAAATGGATCGATGCATGGGTGGCCTCTAAAATCATGACTGGACCTAGAATCTTTTTTAGTGAGAAACACAAATTAATGAAGTATCTCTAAGAGTTTGACACCAAGCCAGGTCGTACTGTAGCTTGCCTGACTATGAATCGCAGCCCGTGACCAAAGTTGTAGCTGCTGACGCATCGTGCAACTTCCAGCACTAGCTGAACCCCTAGCTCGGGTTGTCAGGCCAAAGATATCAAAGGGCCGGAAGCAAACATCCAAAACGCAGGTTATGGGAGTTGTTCTCTTCAGTTTTCTGCTTCCTCCAGCGGTCCACCAGCCATTCTCACTGGAGAAGGGTCATATTTCCAAGTGATTTTAATGGAAAAGGTCGAATTGCGGTCCCTGTGAATCTGTGGCGAAACTTGGATCATCTTGGATCATTCGGATCCACAGGGAGTGCATCAGATTTTCCACCAGCGCACCAAGTGGGAAGTGATGGCCATGGTCGAAGTAGACCACCCGTTTGGTCGATGATTGTAGGGGTTATACTATCATATACTATCCAATACATGGTATGTTGGGAATATGATCCTACTCTTAAGGAACCAAATGAGGTATTTGAAAATTCACCACAGCAATTTTCTCAAACAGTTGTTGCTTGGCCATGGCCAACTCTTTCCTGCATATATTTTCGTAAACATGACAACAATGTTTACCACCTAGCTCACCATTCGTGGTCCAAACATTCTCAGGACTTATTCGTAGCTTCCTGTCAATTGGTGAAGGCGATGGAGATCCCAAGAAGCCAGGGATTTATCAATGGTTTGGAGCCATGGACTATCCGTTTGTCAGCTACAAAAAACGCTGGGCAGCCGCGCTCCTGGCAGTGGTCCGGGTACTTATTGAACGGTTGGTTGCACATGGCCACCCACTGCCACCCACACCATAAAAAAATCTAACATACACTAACTACTGAAGTGATCCTTAACCAATTTACTGTTTTTTCAGACTGTTGTCGTATTACAAGGCTTCCTATATATACAAAAACATACAAAAACTATATGACTATATTATATTTATATATAATTTATTTTAACAATCGATAGACATAAATTGTCTATTGTATGAAGGCTTCCCTGTTGATTTGCGACCTGATCCAGGTGCGGAAGACTCCATTGGATAGAGTAGAGGTGGTCGGTGGCATTGCAGCTGGCATTCACAAAGAAGGTGGGCGGGGACCAAAACAGGGTATCCATATGCCCAGTTCATTGCTTAACTTGATTGAATTATGTGTGGAAATGTTTGGAATTCATTTTTAATATTCAATTATCTGGATTCATCTGGTTTTAGTTAATAATTTGATATAATGTTCACACACAGAAGTACCCATTTCTTGATCAATTTGGGGGTGCAGAAGGGTGGATTGTTTCCGATGAGACGAGGGGAACCTGTGAAAGCATTGAATGAGTTGGCAGATAGATTCGCATAGATAGCATTGCCCTGATTTCCCTCCATTCAAAACAGAAATCATATCCAGACGTTTACGTAATGAGCTTTGCCGGTCTTACAAACGTGGCAGTTGTATGCTGCGCGTTTTGGAAAGAACTGGACATGCTGCATGTCATTGCAGGCTACATCGAGCATGATCATGAGACCGGACAGAAGAAGATGGTCGTGTACCTGCGGGACAAAGGTCCCAATGACACTTGGCCTGGGCTTGGCGACCTGCAGTGGCTTGGAATGGCTTGGGATGTCTTGAAGCGGCTAAGCCACGTCAAATCTTCATCTCATGGTGACGAACAGTGCCAGAGACCATGACAAGTCCGAAGGATCTTTTTTTGCTCGGTCGAATTCCGCTTCGTCTAATTTGTTAGCATGTATATGCATATATATAATATATAATATATGCTTGTATGTTACTTATACATAATTGTGTATGTATGTAATATATATATATATATTCATTCACCCAGAAACGACACAACCACATCACAAATTCTTCAATCATGTGTGTGTAATTACTTGGCTTACTATGAAATTTCAGATTGAATCTTGACAGATGATGACAGTGTCGGGTTCTTAGCATGCCGGGACCTTCAGGACGCACCGTATGTGCCGCAAGCCTCTTGGCATCGAAAGGGTCGCCGGGTCACATCTTTTGGCCGAAATCTGTGGCAATCTGTGGCCCCCTTGGAATGCCTGGCCGAGTTCTCATAGTTCTCCACTTGGGACCTCCAAGGACCTTGAGAGCAAGACTGTGGAGTTTGAGTGGATCGCCGCTGGGCACCTTGACTGCATATGGCTGTGTCCAAGCACAAAAGTGTTCCTGCAAAGTCCAATGGTTGATCATCAGAATCCTATCATGTCACTGTCATATTCTTCAATAAAATTGCTATGAATTCCCATAGGATCCATGTATGGTATATATGCTAACATTTGGGGTATATTGATGGTTTTAAATGTTACCATATATAGCATACATGGATCCTATGGGGGAATCACCATATCTGGACAAACCCAATGGATTCGCGATGAACTTTCTGGGAGCAGCACCAAGGTTTTGCAATGCCGTGACGAAGAAGTTGGGCACCCTGCTGTACTTCTGCTGGTACATCTTTATCACCCGGCCACTCCGTTGCTTGGCCACAGGATGGCTGCGTGAAATAGGGCTCACATCCATACAAATGCATTGTGTATATATATATATATATTAGTATATGTATATATATATATATACACACATATTGATACATATGAATTTCAGATGCTTCATGATGCCTTTGATTTTACTTTGTATGTTTTGTATCTCAAGATTTGCGACCCACTCAATCCCAATGCTCTTTTTCGGGTCTCCATTGATCTCCATTGTGTACCGAGGCGTGGCGGCAGAAGTCATGAGGTTCCTGACGACACCAGCCTCCCACAAAATCCAACGAAAGCAGTTTGATGAGGACATCAGCCTTCACCTGGGCTTTGCGGACAAAATGGTGTGGACATGTTTCATGAAGTAATTGAAGTAATTGCAGCAAGAAACACATTGTATAATATGGTATATCATTTCAATTCATTTCATAGATGCAATTATGTTATGGCATTTTATGATATTTCAATATATTTCATGTTTCTGTTGATATTTTTGCTGATCTCCGCAGAAATCTGTCCCAGGAGGAGGAGACAAAGGATATTTGGGGCATCATGCACGGCGCTGCGAGCCTCTTCGCCACCTTCGTGAACCACGAATTCGGTGGCCGCCTGGTTGCTGATGGTCGCTGTCTGTGACATCAACAAAAGTTCACTTAAATGCTATTCAAGTGCACGTCGAGTGCTATAATTTAGATTTGTTTTGAATTTTATACATTGTAATTAAATCATTGTAATGTATGATAATGTATGAATGTTGGGTTCATTGAAGTTCATCAACCTCACTGCTGAGCGCGATTTCGCCATTTGGCCCTGGGCCCCCTGGGCCTTGGCACATCGCATAAGGTTATAGCAAAGATGCCTTCGTGGACATTGTTCTTCGAGACACCAACTTCAGGGAAGCCTCCAAGGCGCTCGGAGAGTTGAGGTCCTTGAGGTTCTGAAGTTATACTTGATCTATTCATCGACATATGCCATAATTGGTATATTAATGTACAATTTATAATATATGTATATACATATATATATATACATATAGATTAGTTTTTATTATCAGGTTGTAGAATCAATTCTTTCATAGCTATATTTGTTTAATTCAAGATATACACCTACTCGAGTGCACAGTTGCTTTACATAGAACCCTGCTGATAGCTACCAATGAAAAACCAATGATGTGTGTGCAGGACGCTTCTGAGCAGATCCTGAGTGCTGGTGGTGTCATTTCCTTCTTGCATGGCATGACTCGACGCTTGGAAATGCGTTTGGACTCGGGAAACCACTGGGTTCCCAGAAACTGGTGACCCCTACTGGGTTTTTCAAACAGTAGACGGGAAAAAGGTAGGTGTCTACCAAAATGCTCAAGATGGGATTGTTGTTGCGTTGCCGAGATTCCGTAGGATGTTCGAAGTCGTGCGGTTGTGCGGAAGGGTGATTCCCTGTGCACTGCACGCCATTTATGACCTATGATAGCATATCGGGGAGATGAACATCAGTAATTAAATACCAGCTATATACAGATATTTTGCCATGAATATATATATATATATGTATATCAAAATACATCAAGGTGCCAGGGTGAAAACTGATTTCCATTTCTGACCCCCTTGATCTGTGGAATCATTTCGAGGTTTCTACGAGATCATCGCATCAGCCTTCATCGTGCTCCTATCCACTGTGCTGGGCTTTGTCGTCTCTCGGCCATGGGTGTTTGGAGGACATCACTCAGCTGAGTTGAAGCAAACCTTGCAATGAAATTGGCATGATCCATGGATGATCCTTGAATTAATGGGAGTGACAGTGATTGCTTGTATAAAACAACATGCATATATTATATACACATATTAAGATATTATATATATATATATATTCATTCACATGAATGATAATGAGCCAGTAAAAACTGAAAATATAATGATCAGTTGCAGTTACCGGAGTGCTGCCTGAAAGTGTTGCAGCAGTTTGTTGATGGCACACGTCGATGATCAACACCGCCAAGGTCATGGAGAACGTGCCGTGCTTCTCAGATACAAACTCCTCGTGGTGCCTTGTCAGACACCATGGGATTTCAGTTCTGCGAAAGTACTTGACTTGAGTTACTTGAGTCAGGAACAGAAATCCTTCAGAATATCGAAGAATTCCTTGATGTCGGGATGCAATTCTCGTATTTTTAAAGGGTGAAGACTAGATTCGTAAGCACTCTACAGCCCTCTCCCACAACATAGACCTCCTAGTCCTAGTAGACCTCCTAGCAGACCTCCATATTCATCAATCAGCAGGCAAGGTACTAGAAGGTTCATGGAAGGTTCATAGAAGGTTCATAGAAGGTTCATAGAAGGTTCATAGAAGGTTCAATGTTGTGGAATGGGCTTTCCACCTCTGTGTCAGGTACATCTCAGATACATCGAGCATGGCTTTGACCTGCTTTCTGATCTCTGGCATCGTTGCGTACAGCCACTCTGCCTTGACATCATTTGAACCGGGAGCCAAGTGGTCAAGAATTATCAACAGTGGTAGATGATAGAAACTGATTACAAAAGTTGCTGCTGGATTGAAACATTGCGCCACATTTTCTTGAAGCCCCTGGAGCAATGTGCTGTTGCTCATTCGTTAGGAGAGAGACCTTGGGATGCCACAGCATGTAGCACACCGCTCTTGTGACATCTTGTGACAATGTCTGAAGGTTGGATGTCCCTCTTCAACACTACGTCAGATAGCAACTTGGCATCACTTTCACTGGAGTGACGTTCTAGTGAACCCAGCTGGCATGGCTTCTTGGTGAAGCCACCTGAGCAGAACCTCCTGCTGCTTGATGTTGGAGGTTACTTTCCTCTCCCGACACAATAAAACCAGCGAGTGCAAGGTTATGACACCAATCTGTGCCTTTCACCAAATTCATGTTTCACCACGGCGAAGTACTTGTTCCCATGGTCTTGTTCCATCTTGTTCCTCTCTTCAACAGAATTTCCAAGATCAATCACCGAATATCACGGACCTGGTGAGGCTTGCTGTACACCCTGATGTGGGCACGGAAAATGTCGGCCAACGACACTTCCTTCCCTGCTGTCACTCGAGCCCAAGCCCAGGCACCGCAGCCACAGGGGCTCCTGAAAGCTGCTGTTTTGATGGGTTTCATACTGCGGATGGCAGGAGTTGGTAGTACGGTAGACGGTTTGTTCTGTTATAATTATAATAAGATATAATAAGTTATTATCCCATATTATCCCATGATTTACAGTGTTTCATAGTTACCAATAGTTCCCAACAGGTGCAGGATTTCTTCCATAGTATGTGTGGACATTTGATGTAGCTGACCATTGGGATAACCTTGTCGCCTCTCAGGGGCTTGATATTAGGAGTATGGTGACATGGTGGCTGGTGGCTATTTGTAAGCACTCCCATACCATATTGTCATGATTTTGGATGGTAAAGGCTATTTATTTCCATATTTCTGTCCAACGTCCCCAACATCTTCCCCAACAACTCCACCAGGCACGAGGCACCAGCAAGGTGTGCCCGGAAGCCTTGCTGGACCTGGTGGGGGAGGAGGCTGGTCCTGTGCAAATCCTGTGGGAACTTCAAACTTTGTTCTGCTCGGCTGCAGATCATGATATCTGATATCTGAATATATCTGAATCCTTGATATTTTTGTTTGAACTTAAAGGGCTGTGATATGATTTCTGGACTTCCAACCTCAATGTGTTTGCAGGTTGGGTCGTCGACCCCGAAGTTCAACGGCTACCTGTGTTTCTCTATGTTTGCTGGTCGACAGTCAAATCTGCCAACTCTCCCGCAAGGCGTCAACCGACCCTCTTGTTGCCATGAAGGCCAATGCAAAGAACCGGAGTCAGGCGATGGCTCAGTGACTCAGTGACTCAGTGACAGAACAGATCAATCTTTGACTCTTTGACGGCCCTGGTCCCAATTGTCCCAGGATGTCCCAGGGATTCTCAATGATTCTCATTCCGGAACATGGCCTCGGCAGGCCACTCGCTTCCAGCATGTAGGCAGTAGATTCAAAGGTGGGACGGCGTAGGGCGTGGGTCTCTGACAGGATCTTGGTGGAAATGGGGGTCCTTCGTCCAGCTTTGCAGTCATAGCTGGCAGTAGCTGGCCTGTGATACTAGTCAACTTCATACATTCTGATGATCTTTGATGTGCACGGAAAAAAGACAATCTACTGCATGTATATTATGTATACATATAGATACACTTACTGTACATATCAGAATATATCAGAACATATCAACATATAATATACAGATAGCTATTTGATTCCATTTGCACAAATTATTCACTAATATCATTAGTACAGTGTGCCACTCTGTCAAGCTGGGCTTGCCGCCGAGTGATAGGTGCAGCCATGACCACCATGGGCGCTGGCCACTCGCGTCACGATGAGCGCGATCCCTTGCTGAGGAAGGCCAAAGGGCGACTTGGTGCAGCACCAATGGTGGTGAAGTGAAGCACAGTGAAGCTGAGGTTGAAATGTTGAGAGGAGATGATGATGATGATGATGATGATGATGACGACGACGACGATGACGACGACGACGATGATGATGAACATAACCAGATGCAGACATCCCGATATACAGGCTGGAAACCAATGCTCAATTGACACCTATTTTGGATTATTTTGACCCATACAATGGAGGATTGAACATCGAGAATAAGTGTCATATGGTGTGATTTGGGCTCCAGGTACATATTGTATATATGACCTCGATGGACATTCCCAGCTTTCAAGAGCCATTGGTGCGCTTGATTCTTTTCCGCTGGATATCAAGTGTACTACATTTGTTTGGCACATTTGGGCACCTTGAACGTTTCAGCTCTAGAGTTGTATGGATGCAAAAGTGATGAGGGACAGGACGGAAGATTTTGGAGCTGGAGATAGGCGGATGGAACGGGCTGTATTTGCACAGAACCTTCCATTCGTGTTAGAATTGTTATTGTTCGAGCTAATTATCCATTACCATTTCTCATTACTGATCTAATGTGGTACACCCAATACAGCCTGAGCGTTGGATAAGAATTCAAAAATTCTCTGTCCAGGGTCTCTCAAATTCTGAATTTTAAATATGTGTCAGTCATCATGGCTTTGGGGTGCATAAGGCGAGGGTCCCTCCAACTGAAAAAAATATGATCAGCTATTTCCAGAAAACTGGGGTGGTTCATGGCAGTGCATGGCATTCGTTTACCGGTCAATTCATATGACATTTCTGGACAGACTAGCCGACTTGCCATATCAGCGACGGCGACATGCCATATGAGGTCCACCACCCGCCATTAAAGCGGTGAGCTGCTAGAAGCGAAGCTGCTGAAAGCTCAGAAGATCTCAGAACTTGAGTCACCAGGGGAAAAACTGGAGGAAACTGTAGAAATTTACAGAGTTCTACGAAAGTCTATGAGATTTTATCGACTTTATGGGAAACCATGACAAAGTGGCCCAGTGTTAGAACCAGTTGGGAAGGGCACGTCCTTGGAAAGGGTTGGACAAGCAATTTACGAATGCCTGTGTTTGGCATATCTTGTCGAAATGGGTACCATGGAAGGCTTAGTCACAGCCACTCAATTTGTTTGATCGACAAAAGTAGGATCTAGTCTCTTGCTTGTTTCATTGTGGGCCATTACAAGTCGTGAACGCGATACAAGCAATACATGTAATATGAAATATGGGTATGGATCAATACCTATTAATACCATTTTTAGGGGAATGAACATCCATTTACCAGCTATGTTGATGTTCACCAGGGGTACTATTGGTTTTGACACACTGCCATATGCATGTTTCAAGCAAACAACTTCACCCTAGCTGTCCGAGCCAGCAGTGCTGCGATCTGCTGGAGTTTGACACTTCAGCAGCATTCAGCAGCGTATCTTATGCCAACGGCGTCAGCCTTGATGGCTCCGAGGATGTCAAGCATCGCGGCCCTGAAACTCATCAAAGATCAGATCAATCCTGACGGAATATAACGAATGTATACAAACGAATGGACATGAGGTGTTGGCCTGGAGAAAAGTCATTGAGTCCCTTGAAGATTTGAATTCGTTTGAGTTGTTGCTTTTCGCAGAAACCCCGAAGAAGATGCTTGACTCTCGAGTTTCAGTACATGTACCTTGACCAAATTCAGTGCAGAGGGGCCGCAAGGACAACGCGCGAGGCTTTTGCAAATGGACCAAGCAATACACGCAGAATAAACATGGGCTGTCACATCTCCCGGTCCGGACTGGGAACATTGTGAAATTTGGGTAGGTATTGAGCTGCTGCTGGAGTCTTGCGTACATCCACCAGTTTACTCAAGACCCTTCAGTTTTCTTGGTAGTTGCACTAGCCCAAACAAGTAAGATGTAATGACTGCAACATGAGTCATTATCACTCAGAGACTTTGGATGCCACAATTTGCTACAGGGCTCCAAAGGGTACATCTGCCGATTGCTTCAAAGTCTGCTCCCTCCTTTGTGCAGGCCTGAAGCAGCGCAAGAACATCAAGAAGGGCAAGAAAGGCTCATGAGGCCAGCAGGGGCCCGGTGGGCTGAGTTTTCCAGAGCATGAACTGTTGTTTCCTCCGTCCATGGTCAAACGATGTCAAACGGATTGAAATGGTTTGAATGTATCTTTAAAACGGACTAAAATGACTAAGATAATCTGAAATATATTTGTTAGGTCCGACCCGATCTGCACCTCCGCATCAGGACAGCAGGCCCCAAGATCGTTGTGCCGATTTGTTCTGCAAAATTTTCCTTCAAGACCACTCAAATCAGATTGAATCAGTGTATCATCAGGATAAATACATTACATCATCATATTTTGTTGGTTTAGTATGGTTTTAATATGGTTTTTATATGGTTTATAATATGGTTTAACATGGTTTAGCATTGTTTAATACTAATATGTTTGATTCGTATGAATGGTGAGCGGTTGCTTCTTGGCTTAAAGGGCCAGGCGGCGGCCAGCTCGCGGCGCCATGGCGAGTCTGGGAGCTGCAGTCCAAGATGCAACGATCCTCGTGGCAATTGGATGCATCTTCCATCTTCCATAGCAGGATATATGTAGAAAGATCGATAGATGGATGGATGGATAGCAAAGTTGGCAAAATTGCATATCAATTTAAATATATCATGAATACTAACTGTATATCAGCAAAACATGCAATTAGGCCATCAGCAGACTTGCAATCTTGTGGTACTGAAGAGAAAAAACCATACATGGTGCTGAGGACATATTTAGATGAAAAAACCGTGTTCTTCCTGCAGCACAAAGCGATTCTCGAGAAACGGCTTGTTGTGCGACCGGATGTCTTCATGGTGTCTTGCCATGGAAAATGCTGAGTTGGATTTCACATTTTGACATCTGCTGCGTGCACCTGTCAATCTCCACAACCAGCAAAACGTACACTGACAAATTCACCAAAATTGATAGTCTCGGACTAGAGGTGTCTCAACACCCACAGTGTGCACTGCTGATAGTTGTTAGAACTAGTTGAATGCATTGTGCGCAGGTGTTGAGCGGATTTGCCATGGGTCTACTTCCGTTCCTATTTCTTTGCTCACGCAGTGAGCTGAAGGCACCGGCTAGCAAAGAATTGGCTCCAGTGACGCTGTGCCTATTAGCCCTCACGGGCGGTTTGGACTTTTTTTGTACCTCGGCTTCACCCTGGAGCCCGATCAGCCGAGAGTTGTCGTGACTGTTCCCCAGGAAATCTGGAGACATAAATCCCTGTGTGATTCACCTTGCTAGTTACGATGGTTGTGAGCAGGTGCGAAACGAAAAGAAGGATTGTAATATAACATGAATAGATACTGTAATCTTGCGAACATCGGTGCCTTTTTAAACTTCAAACTTCGCCATGTTTTTTTGTTTCCCAATATGTCCCAACGTCAAGGTACTGATCAGTACCAGCCCAGCATGCCGGATATGGCAACAGCTTTCAATGTCACCAAGAGTAGCATTTCAGCTACATGAGATGAGTCCTGCGACATCTCTGGAGATGTTTGGAGAACTGTCCCATATGTTCCATACAGTTTCTCAATGTTTCGTCGATCTACATTGATGAATGTTGATTCTTCATGGTGTTTCATGCTGCTCTTGTGATGGAGGAAGGCCACTCGGACTCCGCAGAATGGTTTTGGCCATCATCACACTCGCATCACCATTTATGGGGTTGGAGGAAGTTCCTTCTTTTGTTTGGAAGCGGAAGTCCCAGCTTTCTACCATTTTGCTATGCACATCAATGGCTGGAGGGTTGTCAACAGAGATGGCAGGGCTGTTCTGTGACAGTGACGCTTCACATTTCCATGAGATGCCGGGTTGACCTGAAAGGTATGAGCCTCACAATTCAAGCTCATCAAGTTTTTTGTGCCTTGACCAACAGAAAATTCGCCGCATGTGTCGTTGCAGCACATGATTTTGGGCCAATGCCGATTGAACGATCCATGGCCTGAACCGGGGATGGGACCAGGGGTGATATACGGGGATATGTGCCTATTTGACCACATTTGACCCATTTTTGACACTGAGGTGGGCTAGCCACGCTGATCTTTGGCCCTGTCTCAGATTACATTGGTCGGCGCAAAGTCTTTCTATTCCTTCAGCTGCTCTTGGTACTTAGTACCACGTGCTGTGCGTGTGTCTTGGCCATGGCTATGCTGACTCCGAATGGTAGTGCGTGGATACTGGGCGCGGGGATGTGGAAGCTAAAGAACTTGAAAGCTTGGTGATTTAACATGGGTTTAGTCATGGGTTTAGTATGTTTAGTGAAGGTATAGTGGTTCCCTATCTTCCCTTATCTTCCCTCTCTTCAGACCCGGCAGGGTCTGCTGGCCCAAGGTGCACCTTCCTACCATTGGTTCGTGGTGGGAAGAGTACTGCAAGGAACTGGATCATCCTCCATAGCAATCGTGCTGGCCATCTCAAGAGATTGCTATGAAAAGGAGGAGGAGCGACTGAAGGCCAGCGACTGATGAGTAGCGACTCAAATAGGCCCCCCCCTCTGCTGCTTTGGCTGATAGTTTTGTGACAACAAAAGGACAGGATTCTGTCTTCGCTGCCTTTGCATGCATGTGATATCATGGTATTATGGTATTTCTTTCTTTAAACCCAAAGTGTATTACAATATCATATTATATCAGAATAATACGAACTGTATGCAAAGCCTCCCAGAGATGTACGCCAGGTGGGTGGCCTGTTGTTCGCATGCATGCTGCTGGGTCCACTGATCGCCCCGCCCATTGGAGGCTTTTTGGCTACAAGGTGGGACTTTCGCCTGGAGGGCCTCCAATCCTCCAACTCGCATCATTGCTTTCATAGAAGCTGGCTCTGACTTTTAATCCCTGCCTATGTAAAGTCGGGACTATACACCCTGAGGGGTTGAAACTCTACTATAAACTTACTCGTACCATAACTTGTAACTTACCAATTTGATCAGAATGGCCAGATTATGTTCTTCACCCCGCAGCAAAACTGCTGTTGCTGTCCCCAGCTGTTGCAGGTTTGGCTGGAGATCCAGCTTTTTCATGCTCGCTGGTGTGTCCAGTAGCATTTTTCTCTGCAGCTACTTCTTGGTTCCCGAGACTTCCCCGAAAGCGCCGAAGTCGTCCTACCTTCGAGCCGTTTGGAGGACACCAGTCGTGGATGCAGAATGACTAGTCGAGTGATGTCGAGTGCATCAGAAACCGATGATTTTCTCGGGATGATCCAAGGTGCCCAAATCGGAATGAATCAACTGCTTGGCGCTGCGAAAAAGGTGACAGGAATTGCATGGAATTGCCAGGATTGTGGCGAACAAAAGGCGATTCCTTTTGCTGCTGTTGATGGCTTTGTACAAGAGTACATTTAGTGCCCCGGCATGGCTTAAGTTGCAAACCCTGTCGCATCCAAATGTGCTGTTTGGGGTGGCACAGCTGATGAAAGCTGCATGACATGGGCGTCTAAGGTATCCTTGACAACAATAATGCTTTCATGTTGGAGACTTTCCTTGGTTTCTTGGACTGACTTAGTTGTCCTGAGCGGCATCAATTTTGATCAGCCGCATTGCATCAACAAGAGTCGTGGAAAGGTTGGATCACTGTTTGTAGGCGCAATGGTGCCAGTGGCTGTGCATCTTCAACTTGCTGAACTTGCTGAACTTGGAAAGAAACAAATGCATCATTTTGTGAGCCCTGACCTTTTCAGTTCAAAAACCCACTACAACCTTGAGACATCTCGAGACGTTTCTGAATCTGAGGCGCTCCTATACAGCAAGCATCCTTTATGGTGTCCATCTTGGCATTGTCAGGTGTGGGATCCAAGACTGCAACAAGAGCGGAGTTTCACCAGGAATCGCGGTTGCGGCGGTGGCGGTCAGGTGCTAGTGGTGTGTTAGCATCTTCTTTGCTGGGGCGCAAGCCAGTGGAGGCGGCGCAACGTGGGATGGTGTTTTCTAGCTGAAAAAGTGAGTGGGGCAAAGTGTGACTGCTGCCCATGGAAAGAATTGGCTAGGAATTTGCCACACCCATCGATGTATGCCCAAAAAGGGATTTGGGAACGGGAGCTGCTCTGCGTCCGGCTTGACATCACTTCATAAGACTCGTCACTGTTCATCCATGTGCAAGGATCAAACCATCAACATTCATGGGCCGCTTCTCAGAGGGTCACCGTTGAGTGGAAGCTTCCTGCACTGACACCAGGTGTACAATGGTCAAAAGATGTCAAAAGTTTGACTAATCCCTTCCCCCTAATACTAAACGCTCCCGCAAATAATAAACACCACAGGTAGTTTTTATTAGTAGGGGGTATTCATTATTAGGGTGCGAAGCTTCCTAATAGTAAATTTGAAACCCTATTCCTAATACAAAAATGTTTTCTATTTCAAAATCGATTAGATTTCCTTTTAAAATCTAAGTAATATATTGCCAAAAAATGGATTTCGAAGCTTTCCCCTCATATAAAATTAAACACCTCAATAATATAAAATACTTTCTTTTTTTCGACCTTAAAAGACGGACCCTAATAAAAAACACCTCTGGGTTGACTAGTTTTTATTATGGGGGTGAAATCCTGAAATGGTAGCTTCATTTTTTAATTGTTTTCTAAAGGGGATCAATTAAAAATCAAATTGGCCAACCTCAAATTGTCCAAAATTGGAGACGGACCCTAGTTTTTACTATTTAGGTAAGGTTTAGTAGGGGGAAGGGATTACATACCCATATTACTTGTATCATATATTCTCCATATTGGGGTAATGGTATGGTCATCAATCCGTTAAGAGGATTTATACGCAGCCATCAGTAGCCACTGTAATCTGATGGGATGACATGACCGTGGCACGTCGTGGAACAGGTGATGAAATTGACCATGCCAGTGGTCTTCATCGTTGCCACTTGCGACCTGCTGGTGGGCCTTTTCTCTTCGAACCTCGACCCACAAGGTGTGTAGCCAGGAAGTATATAGCCAGCTATAGCCAGCTCGTTCTTGTTCTCGCCCCTAAGGAAGAACCTGAAACTCTATCTTGCTTGCATTTGCTTCCGACACTTTGTGATTATGCTGCCAAACATGGCTGCCAACGTGACCTGCCAGCAGGGTTGCAACGGTTGCAACGGTTGCTGAGGACACAAAGGGTACAGAGGGAAAGAAAGGCATCGGACAGTCCCAAAACAAAACGTGTCAAAAGAATGGTCCGTAAGAATCAGCGGGGTGAAAGTGCCTTTGTCCTAACATAGGGTACCCCCAAATCATCGAAAATTGAATTGCTTAAATATAGTAATTTGATATAATTTGATATATGATGATATAATATATAATTATAATATATATATATATATATGCTATGCTGTAGCATCTTGGGTTCAAAAACGCTGATCGTTAGTAGTGTCTCCAGCCGCTCCCTTCATCTTTGTGGAGATGAGCACTCGTCCTAGAGAAACAACTGGAAACACGCCTGAACCAGCAACTAGAAAACTTAGATTCGGAGAGAAGCCAACCAAAGAAGAAACGGAAGATGCACAGATGATCGAAGCCCACGACGTTCTCACGGAACTCCAATCTCTTCGCATTCAGACTTCATTCCTTCTCGCGCAACATGCAGATCATCTTCGTGAAAAAGCAAGGAAAGAAATCGTCATCGGAGGTTGGTCCACATTCATCCCGAACAAGGAAGACACAGAAAAACAAGGTGAACAACTTGAGGCTCAGTCAGTTTCAAGAGAAAGATGGATCAAAGAGATCGCGAAGAAAGCGGGCTTACCTAGTGGATACTACAAGGAATGGAGCTTCTCCCACCAGACACGTGGAGATTCATTATCCCCAATCACCGTAGTCACAGTGACGCAACCGTGGCAACGAAACAAGCGCTTTGATTTCACCAAGAAAAACGGCAACACAGGCAAACTTCAGGAAAAATTCTTCATCAATGAAAAGGAAGTGACAGATTGGAATCTCATTGAGAAGGAGTTCGGCAACTACCAAGAACCAGCATCTAAGGCGAAAGAGTTGAAAATCCAACCACAAATCAGCTTATGGGATCGGATTACTGGACTCCCACTCAAGATTGGTATGGCCATCACAGAGGAAGCCCAAGTACCCTTCAAGCACAGCTGGAGAGATTTGACTCTCACGCACAAGGACACCAATGAGTACCTCCTTTGGACTCACTTCGCCCCAGACAAAGGCATCATTACTTTGTACCTCAGCGTCAAAAACATCCCGGACATCCAAGCGTTTGTGACCTCCTATGAGCATAAGTTCAATGACACACTCAATGGCGGTAGCAAAGCAAAAGGGAAGGGCAAAGGCCGTTCATCCAACCCCAGCCAAGAAGCAGAATCCATGCCGTGGAACCACACCTCACATGGAAGAGAATGCAAATTCCCCTTTGCCCTCCAGATCAAACCGGTAGAAGATACCATCAACCACTGGGATGTGTGGAAGTCATTGTGGACCGAAGCAATCCGCACAGCCACCCTCCCTTTCACGGTGAACGTCTTCTGAAGCCGCCGGGCCTATAAGCGCAGCTCTGTACAGCCGGCTGCCAACCAAACTTTTCCTTGTAAACTAGCAGTCCGTTTTGCAGAGCACCGTTCGGGAAAGCTTTCTTTTAATTCTCCTATCCTTGAGGCCTTAACACACTCACAGAAGGAAACCACAATTCAACAGCAGATGGCAAAGCAGGGTAAAAAGACTCGAAAAGATAAACGCCAAAAAGAAAACTGCGGCTCTTGCCGCAAGACCTTCGGGTCTCTCGAGGTAATCTCTGGGTACTCTCAGCCGAAGGCTACACCAAGACTTTCATATCATCACCTTTCACTCCACACCCAAGCCCAGGAGACTTTCATCAATCACCCACCTAATTTTCCAGCGTTTGCAGGCCCCCCTTTGGCGATGCGGGAAAGCCGTGCTCCAGCACAGTCTGGAGACAGCGGTAACCAACATGCACTGAACCCATCTCACCTGTCTCAGACTCCCTCACCTAAGAAGAAAAGACGTAAAATGCACGCCCACAACGCACATACTAGCGATTGCGATCTTAGTAAGAAAAAATGTCGTAGCTTACACGCACGGCTTAGCAGGAAAGTTCGTAGGGCTTATAAACGTAATCTCCAAAGACAAATCTTCAGAAGAATAAGGTCGCAGGCTCAAGACTTGGCGAGTCAACTGCCTGCGTACATCGCCCAAGATCCGAGGCGCATATCTAGTAACTACACGTTCTCGATGCATGAAAACATTTGCAGCGCACAATCAAAACCAAGTGCTTCCATCAAGGAACATCCTTCGTCACTGTGTGATTCCAACTATCAAGAGTTGATTCTGGAAAACAATTTTCCTTTAAATCTTCGTATTGCCTCATTGAATTGTCGGGGATTATCGTCTATTTCGAGAAGGGAAAGAGTGGTTCACCTTATGGACAAGCATAAGCTTGATATTCTTTGCTTGCAAGAAACAAAAATCAACTCTAACGCTAGGGAATGCCATGACAACTACGTTATGTTCTGGTCAAGTGGAGTGAAAGATGAAGACCGAAACAAAGCGATTAATCTCAAAAGATCCGGTAAAGCTTCCCGAAACAATGATTCCCACAATAAAGTCTTTAGGGCAGCTATAGAACACCTCGGAGTTGGCATAGTGTACAGAAAGAGGCTGGAAAAATTTATTGTTGATGTCAGGCAACACGATGCCAGAAATATCATGCTGACACTTAGGATGCAGGCTGGATATCTTGATGTAATTTCCACCTATGTTCCACAGGCATGTCATTCGGACCCTGATGCCACGGAGAAGCATTACAATGAACTGGAGCAACTTCTTAAAATTCACTATCCTTACTCTCCGCGTCTTATTCTAGGTGACTTTAACGCTAGACTCATCAAAGCCTTACCGCATGAGACATCATGCTTTGGCGCCTTCACCTTGGGAACTTCTTGGGCTGATCTTGATCACTTAAGCGAAGCTCAACTTGGAAATCGCGCCCGATTCGCGGAATTCTGCTTAGCAAACTGTTTAGTTGCAAAAAACACTTTTTTTCAAAAATTGGATGAAGATTTGGTTACATACAAGGCAGTAGGTGTAAAATCCTGGCAACCACCATGGCTGCTTCACAAGTACGCGCAGTGTGATTTTGTTCTTGTTAACAACAAATGGAAGAATGCTGTCACGGATGTTTCCACGACACAGGTGCACGCTGTTGATACAGATCACAAACTAGTGATTGCCTCTGTCCATTTCAAGCTTAAATCTCAGATTCATAGCACACCCGCTTCTTGCATTAGACTCCGTAACCCGAATGCTCAACAGCTTGAAGACTACAACAAGCAAGTTTCAGAAACAGCTATGCTAGCGGACAATGCTGGCATCAACGGGCCTCCAGATATGGATGCTCTCAACAAAATAATCCTCGAGAGCGCTCAGGCTCACTTGCCTATATTAGATCCCAAACAGAAGAAATCCTATATTTCAGCAGCCACGTGGGCCCTACTGGAACAAAAATGGAAAGCCATTGAGGACGGGAACCATGAGGAGGCAACCCACATAGAGAGCAGTATCAAGAATCAAGTCAAGATTGACAGAGAAGATTTACTTGCAAAATTGGAGGAAATTACTGCACAAGGCTATAAATGGGACGGTTTAAAGAAGATGCGGGCTAAATTCACTCCAGCTTTTACCAAGTTCAAAGATTCGAATGGTAAACATGTTCCCTACAAGGATTATCCCCAAAAAGCGGCTGAATACCTTCATGATGTTCAATGGAAACCTAATACTGTTGATGCTTCTCATCAATCACGTCTGCATATTCCCCTTCAAAATGGAACCTATCACGTTGACGAATCTCCTTTCACAATTGAAGAGCTTGATTCTGTTTTGTCGCAGTTGAAACGAAACAAAACGCCAGGAGATGATGGAATTCCGGGAGAGCTTTATAAATGGCTTGATAATCAAAACAGAACCTTGCTGTTGAAGGCAGCCAACGACTGCCTCGAAGCGAGCCATATTGACAGAAAATTCTTAAACGCGGTCGTTGTCTCCATTTATAAAAAAGGGGATTCCTCTTCTCTGGCTAATTATAGACCCATTTCGTTGCTTTCCTGCTGTTATAAGATTGTCGCTGCTCTTGTCAAGAATAGGCTTCTGGCAGGTCTTGATCCATGGCTGATGCAAACTCAATACGGATTTCGCCCTCGAAAATCAACAAGCCAAGCTATTTACTTGGCAAGGCGACTCCAAGATCATGCTGAAAAATCAAAAACACGGAGTACTTTGATCCTTTTGGATTGGGAGAAGGCATTCGATAAGGTAAGTCAAGATAAGGTGGTCGAAACTCTTAAACGTTTGATGGTCCCCTCAAAGATTTGCAACTTGGTCGCAAGTTTTTACGAAGATCCTCAATTTAAAGTCAAAGTTGGTCATTCTAGTTCAGATTGGCAATCACAACGTTCTGGCATCAGACAGGGTTGCCCATTGAGTCCGTATCTATTTGTACTTCTTATGGGTGCCCTTTTCTCAGATTTAAAGGATGAACTACGCACTCCTCGACAGCAAGAACCTATTGACGGAATATATTTTTCTGAAGTTTTGTTTGCAGATGACACTCTCATTTTCGGCGCAAATACTCGTTGTATAAACGTCTTGCTGCATGCTATTGAAAGGCACTCTCATTATTTTGGTCTAAACTTGAATTATGACAAGTGTATAAACATTACTGCCAATCAGAGGGTTTCATCAGTCCGTTTCTCGCCGACAGGCCCTGGGCAAGGCAAATTGGTTCCCAGGAAAAATTATGCTGTTTATCTAGGTACTTTACTTACGGATTCTAATAATAATAAGGCAGAAATTCTCAATAGACTGGGTGACTGCATTGCTACTGCTAACCGGATGAAATTGTTTTGGACGAAAGCCAACACTACAGTAAAATGGAAAATCCAAGTGTTCAACGCCATAATACGCTCAAAACTTCTTTATGGGTTAGAATGTATTCAACTCACAGCAGCAGAAATATCTCGCTTGGATGCTTTCCAGAATAAGTCGTTGCGTCGTATCCTTGGGAAACCGCCTACATTCATTGACAGAACGGAAACAAATGAGCGAATGTATGCCGAAATCCGGGATCAACACGGATGTCATTTTGAGAAGTTTGGAGATACCTGGCGCAAAGCCAAACTTAAGTTCTTTGGCCACATTCTAAGATGCAGTAGGGCCGACCCACTTTCTCAAGTAACATTCGCAGCAGATGGTATTCGTCCCAGACATGTAGTATATCGGAGACCTGGCAGACCAAAATTAGATTGGGTGATAGAATCATACAAAGATGCTTTTTCATTTTTAAATGGACAAGGCGTACTGTTTGACCCTGCAAATATCAACCATTTACGGCAAGTCAAAGAACATGCTATTCTCAGAGCATTCTAACGGTATTGGCTTGCCAAGGCTTCGGCCTCTCGAGGTACTTCGTTTGGTAATCTCTTCTGTTGGAAAGCACGGTGCTTCAGTTTTTTCTTGTGTAAAACTTTCACTACGCAGCTGCAAGCGAATCTGGCTTGCAACATCCGCTTCGTTTCTGCGCTTCGGGAGCTCATTTTGCTCGTTTGAAAAAATATGCTATGCTGTTGATTGATATTCAATAATTTGTTTCCACCTTTTTCAATGGCCATGTAAAAAGGGCATCCTTTGGCGAACTCCCGAGATCGACTTCCTTCAAGATCTCGAAGACATTGCTGGGATGGCCAGCAGCGTGCAGACAGCAGGTCTGGCAGAGAGCAGTCTTCAAAACCCCGTTTGCTTGATTAATTATGAATAATTGTGAGGGGTTTTACTACTCAAATCTACTCAATATATACGTATGCTGTATAATACATATGTATTGATATATATATATATTATATTTATATACATATATATATATTTATATATATATTATATATATTATATACATATATTGAACATATTGCGGATTCATCATCCATGACTGGAATCCCTATCAACCAACCAGTACGGTGGAATGACTTTTCGAGCTTTGAACACTGCTGAAGTGAGGAGATGAGAAATATTCTGAGACAAATCCAACAGACCTCTGTTGGAGGGACTTAGAGTATGCTCCCAAAGCATGCTCAAATTGCCTGAGAAATTGATAGAAATAGTTGATTGCTTGAGAATCTCCCAGGGGTATAGATTGTCAGCATCTGTCAGCCACAGACCTCAAGCTGTGGATTGGGATTGGGCCAGGTGTCTTCTCCATGGCATCGCTCTTTGCCCTTCCTGCGTTGCTTTCCGAGAAGCAAGGCCCTGGAGGAATGCTTTGTGTCCGGATCCATAGGATAAGGATTCAACGGCCATGAAACCTATGAGGCCCCTATGGGCTATGTGAAATACCAATATTCAATACCATCACCGTTCGAAGAGGCATGTGAAGATTTGTGAAGATTTGTGAAGTGTGGTGAGGCGTGTTGGATTGAAAAATATTGAAAACCTTCACTATCTGAGGTCCTGGCGACGATTATTTTCTTGTCGCAGCTACTCGCAAGTGCCATCTTGCGGGAGATTGGGATCTGGCCGATGGTGACCAGGGCTGAATGGCTGGTGTCGAAATCACCTGGTATTTACTCCTAGAAATGCAAATATAGAGACACGAGATTACATAATTAATATTATACACTTGCACATAAATGTACGTATATATATATACACATATCATGTGTATATATATAATAATAGTAATAATAATAAATAATAATACTTAATGATTAATAATAATAATGTTAGTTGTGATAATAACATATAGATCACATGAGCGGATTTTCTGGACCGCTCACGTCTCCAGGACCAGCATGAGGAGCCCAGCGAAGTGCTCAGCTCTGAGAGAGCCCCTCGGGAGAAGAATTCTGAAGCCCAAAGAGCTCAGTGAAGATCAGAGGAAGTCACGGTGTTCTACGAGACAAAGGTGATTTGGTGTCTGACACAGTCTGATCACATAGTACAATATAGTGTATAATACAGTGTATATATATACACATACATATTATATACACATATTATAATGTGTATATATGTATATTATGTTTGCTATTTATTGGTCAGATTAAGTCGCCGCTTTCTTTGCCTTGTCAAATTGAGGAGTGTCAATGGACCTCCTTGTATCACTTCATAGTGAAAGAGTGGGTGGGAGATCGCCTACAAAGAAATGTGAATCTTCGCCGCTCAAGCATTTGCAATAGCATCAACAGCCTCCTTCGCTTTGCCAGATCTCTTGGGTGATTTGGAAGAGGATGCGGTCAGTGATCCACTTGATATACAACATGGTCAAGTTTCTGTTGAACACAACTAGAGGATCAGCGAAAATGGTGTCAAGCTGTCAAGCCGTGCATCATTTGTTGGTTGAGAATCGGGGAATCCAGAAAGTGGCAACATTGGGCAACATTGGGCAACTAAATCCCCTGGTCCAGCCTCATAGAAAGATATAGAAAGGCTATGAAGAAAGTTCAACCAGTTGGGATATACAATAAATCAATAATGTGTATACATATATATATATATAATGTGTACACATATACATGTTCGAAGATTACGTCATCAAAGGTCATGTTTTTTCCATAGCAGTCCTTTCAGTTTCTCCTGGCAAGGCTGCCAAGCTGCTGGCCGAAGTCCCAAACGTCAGAAAAAGTGCGTTGTGTCGGGACCTGACTTGGGGATGGTTCTTTATTGGGTTTACCACGTGAAAAATCACAAGAATTTTACTGGGATAACAATAGAACACTTGGAGAATTTGAAGTTAAGCGCCAGAAACTGCTACCAAATCTACCTCGCTCAATTTCCTTCCGACGTCTTTTGGATGATGGCTCAATTGTGCGGATCCGAGTTCAGGTGTGCTTGTTCCTTTGAATATTCCCGGCGTTGACAAACCTTACTCTTAGGTGCCATGACATGGCATATCCTCTGGTAAACTAACATAACTATGGAAAATCACCATTTTTAATGGGAAAATCCACTATAAATGGCCATGTTCAATAGCTATCTTAAATTACCAGAGGGTACAATCTATGTGCTTTTGCATTTGGTCAACTTGCGGTGTTCTGAGATATGGAACCTGAAGCCAATTGCTTTGCGATCAGCGAGAGTTCAGTCTCAAGTCTTGGAAGTTTTCCGTGGGTGGTAGCCAGTGCGGATTTTTGTGGGCTTTTTATCCGACAATGGCCCATTTTGGGTACCACTTCTATAGGGAGGGCTATTCATTTTGTTTTTTTTTGTGATCAGTTTTAATTTTGTTTTGATTCCTGCTTTTCTGCTTTTCCTGCTTCTCTGCTGTGCTTGCTTCTCTCTTTCTGCTTATCTGCTTTTCCGCCTTTTGCTTCTTCTCAAGCTGTGCTTCAGCTGTGCTGCGTGCCGACAAGAGTCAGAGACCAATTGAGTCATCTTTGTCCATGTGATGAGGTCAAGTTGTAGTAACTAAATTTAGGAAACCATTGTAAGAACGGCATGTGCAAGGCCAAAGCAAAGCAACAGGTTTTACGTTCAACGACCCCAAAGTCATTAAACTTGTTTGGCGAGAAATTCAAAATCAGTGCATATGTTGACATATTTTGAACAGATCAGATGGCATCAACAATGGCCCACACCAGCTGACCAAAAACAGAACCCGCATTTTCACCGGTCGGCCCTCCGTGGACTCGGGTCCACACTGGTTGAGGCGGACACCGGGACCGGGATCAACCCCCAGGTTTCTGGTTTTGTCGCTGTGGAGAGTTGATGTTTGTTGATTTGTTTGATGCTTAAGAATCTTAAGACTTGATAGAAACACTTGGACTTGGTCTTGGTGCATGAAACTTTCCGGAGTCGCAGCGATGCCAGACGTGATGGCTCCTGGGATGGAGGACCCGATGGCTCCCTGGGCTGGAGTTTTCTGGACTTGTTCGGGTCCTCTGACATCTGAAGCAGGTCACAGTAGACTCCATTTCAGGGTAGTTTTCTTGGCTACTTCATTGGCTGCTGGGATTCTTTATACATGTTAATCGCGATGGTTTGTTGAATGGTGTTCAATGTGGTTTATTTGATTGTACTTTTGCGATATCATGCGATATCCCAGTAAGAGGCAACCGGCGGTGCAGGTCCGCTGTTTCCGCCTGGTTACTGCAACGTCAAATTCTCCTGCAGGTTTCTAAGTGACAGGCAGCGTGGCATAATACAAAGGAAATCAAAGGAATATAAATCCGTAATTAAATGCACTTCGGTTTTCAATTTTGCAGCTGGACTACTTCCAGAGTTTCCAATCGTTTGATCATGACAAATTCTTCAGCCATCCAGTTGTTGCTTTTTGGGGGCAAACTCTACTCCACTGCTATGCTCTCAGCTTCAAACTGCACAATCAAAATGCCACCATAGAGCATTCGAAGGTTCCCCTTGAAAAAGTCAGTAAGTCGCAGATGTTGCAGACCAGCGAAGCCAGCTCCACCCAGGCTGGAAGGGTCATAAACAGTCGGTGAATTTCTGTGGAAATCCAACAAATGTTGTTTTGTAGTTTCTAGATCCCTCCAAATTGGAGAAACAGTTTGCTGTCATGGAGAATGTGTAGCTGAATCCCACCCGAGCCACCCCAAGCACCACCCCACCCGGCCCACGGTCCCAGCGCACCACGTTGACGGTTTCGTTCATGCCATGGAAAAGCCGCAACGCTGGCCATGGCCACAAGATCTGGTGCGAAACATCTGCAGCTGGGATGCAGTGAACCCAGATGACAGTTTGGGTGAACCCATCTAAGACCCCGACCCACAAAAATGTGTCACTTACTGTATACATTTGTATACATCTGTATACATTATATACATATATATACATTGTGAAACACTGTGTTGACCATGCTTTGAGGGTACCCCACTTCTATCCAATTCTGATCCGTCGCTAAAGTAGTGGAGTGCAGTGAACATTTTGGCAGTCAACCGTGGTGATTCAGACCATGCCGCAGTGGCATGCTGCAGACGATGGCACAGTTGTTTCTATTTCAAGAGATCTTATTTGAAGGATTACTATGGATTGCTGATTTTGTACTTTGAAGGTCTTCAGCACATCGAACCGTACTGCAACCTATACGTATATTTGTTCTGAACCAATAGCTCTAGATTCTCAAGATACTCGAGTTGTCTCCACTCATATTTGCTGATTGGTCATGCAAGCTGACATCCAACAAGTTAAATCAATTTCGCTGGATCCTGTCTCAGCTTCAAGAAAACATCCCTGCAGCGTTCCTTGTGTGCAACACCCTGATTGGATGACAAAGGAGCTTGCCTGAGAATGCCAGACATTTTTGTTTAGCTTTCGTTGTTGTGAGAATGTGACCGATTTACATTGCGTGATGCTGGAACAGGAACGGCATGTCCGCACTGCAGCGTTCTGTTTTTTTTCCTACTTCCTCATTCCCGTTTTCCTCCGGACACCAGGGAGTCCCCCAATGGTTTCCAGGTATCTTAGCCCACGTGGACCACGGCAAAACCACCTGTGCTGACAACTTGGTGTCCACCAATGGTCACATTAGTCGACATCAAGCAGGGAAGATCCGCTTCATGGATTCACGCCAGGCCGGGATCCAAAAGTGGGAAATCCTTGCACATCAGCTTTCAAAAATCATCATGTTTATTTGGGATCCGAAATGATCCAAAATGATCAACATGAAATGAACAGTGAGACATGCCATCCCCTTGATGATCGAAAAGTGGTGGATTTTGAGGACGAACAGGAGCGGGAAATCACCATGAAGTCCAGCTCCATTGCGCTGCGCTGGTTGAGTCCCAAGAAGGAGATCTTCCTGGTGACCTGGTTTCGCTGGTTTCGCCACGACCGGGTCAACAGCCTGGTGGAGCTTTCAATAGCACGGCACAAGAATGTGATAATTATATACATTTATATACTATAGTAATCATAGACAATCTAATCATGATATGTCAATACAGTAGCATGGCACATGGATATGTTATGATATGTTGATAGCATGGCATGATTATGATATATTATGATGATTAACTGGGTGGGCCCCTGGAATATTTAATATTTTTGTGTTTTGTGTTGTGTTCCTGAAGGGTGAATCATGGAAGGAACGAAAATACTAGTTGCTCTTGTGCTATTATTATTCATTGTTCTGAGGTAAGATCTCAAACTATCTCAAATATAGGGGCATTTACCTCAAAGAGATCTCAAAAGCAGGTTGGCCTTTATTGCTGCTTGAATTAGAAGTATTTCCAAATATCTCAAAATATCTCAAAACACTGCATTTAGAGCTCAAAACGATCTCAAACGTATGCATACATTCCATATTCCCCGGGCAACCACCAAGAATCAAGAATCACCTTTTTTGTGTTTTCCACATGGTCACGTTTTTTTTGTTTATCCAGTAATAAAATTCTCTCAAGAGCAAGATTGAATGATATTGGCTCAATATATAGGGAAATATGCTTGCATACCTGGAATCAGTTCAAAACAACAATTTTCCTGGGAACGATGTAGTTTTTTTATGTCATTTGAGGTCGTTTTGAGGTCAAACCAAGCATTTTTTAAGATAATTTCAGATTCAAGTGAAGGGTCTTGGAAATGTATCATTGTATGCCACGCTCCTGACAGTTCATAAATGCTACATAAGTATGATCCCAAATTATGGGTTTTCCGACCTTGGCCCACTTCTCCCTCGGCACCGCGGGGCTGCATTTCAAACGGTTTCCACTGCTTTGGAGAAGGACAGATGGGTGGCAGGTGTTTGTGTTGTTTTTCTTTTGGGATATATAGATGTTTTTCTGTAATGGGAGATATCCAAAACCATGGGTTTCAATACTAAAATGGTGCAATTGTCGATGAATGGGGGTATTTTCCCTCCGAATTTCAATTATGAGACTTACAAAAAAAAAACTTCTGATCTAGCTGTACGATTCGAGGGAGTTCCTGCCATATAAGGGCAAGCCGTATGTTTTTCCAACGTGAATTGTCTGGCAGTAGCCCTGTAGTTTGTTGATTGGACTCACAGCCATGCATTGAAAAGGCACCATTGAAGAAACGGGTCGAAACGAGAACCCAAGAAGGGAATGAAGTCAAACCCATCAGGCAGATTGTGTTAACTTCAAAGACAGTATGACCAGACCAAAGCCAGTATGACCAGGCCCAGATTGAATGGCTCTGATGTTGTTGCGTTTGTGGTCAGTCCATTCTGCCAGACAGTTGCCAGACTAGGGTGGTAGAAGATGTGCCACAGCCCAACATGCCTGCATAGGTTTCACAAACATCGAAACTGTTGACCTGCTCTATGTGTTATAGCCAGCCACAAGCCAGCCACAAGCCTTGTTGGAAAGACAGCAAATCAAAACAGCCTGTTCAAAGTGAAGATCGCGGACATGACTCCACAGGATACTGTCACAACTTGGCTGCATCTTTCAGTAGAACGCATTTCGTGCATGCTAGCTGACTTATCGCTCTCATTGAAAAGCAAAGTTTTCTTGCCCAGCTAGATCACTCCGTGGGCTATCCGCTGAGAAACCTAAAGAGACGTCATGAGACGTCATAGTGCAGGATGACTGAGCAGGGATCCAACCTTCAACAAATGATAGCAAACAATGTTGCAGGGACAAAGCGAGGGGCATCAAAGCATACAAAAAGGTGTTTGAAATTAAAAGGGTTTGCCTGGAAAGAATGCATCCCACAAATGAAAAGGCCAAGTAAACGAAAAACAACATTTACAACAACTGGAGTTAATCTTTTTCCGACAAACTCACCACTTAACAGTGCAGACCCACGGCCGATTGTGCTTGAATGATCCAGACATTTCTACGCATCAAATCACCAGCTTCATGGCATCAGAGTCGATTCACTTTTGAGCCAAACTCTGCTCTGCTGGGCAGCCCTTCCCTTACCTCCCGCCCATCTCCCGCCCATGGTTCCTTATCCCACCCGTAACACATTCTCCCAAACCCCAAACCCAAAAAAAACAAAATGCATTAATATTTTTCGCCAGAGGCGGAGGAACCACCCAGTTAATGTCACATGGTTGGTTGCTAATCATGGTAATTACTTAGTTGTTCAATCCTGAAGTTTGAAACCACCTAGCCTAGCTTTTGATGGCACACTAGATGTAAGCCATTGCGGGGATCTTATGTGTAATCATTTTTGTTCCGGCAATAAATCCATGTTCTTGTTACAAACATTATAAGTTATTATGCAGTTATACATTCGAATGTATACCATGTTGTACCATATTAATCCTGCTGTTATCCAGTTAATCCAGTTATATCCATATATACAATATATATATATATGTATGTATGTGTGTATGTATGTATGTCTGTCTGTCTGTCTGTCTGTCTGTCTGTATGTATGTATGTATGTATGTATGCATGCATGCATGCATGCATGCATGTATGTATGTATGTATGTATGTAATATATATATATACCAGTTGTCAACATATCTTCATCCAAAGTTGAACCCACGGCTGATGCCACCTGAGGTGAATCTCATTGATTCGCCTGGCCATGTGGACTTCACCAGTGAGGCTCCGATCTTTTGACCCCGGATAAGATCATCATTTTTAAAATCAATGAAATCAGATGAGATGCGCATATATAAAATAATATATACAGATACATATGATATATGTTATTCAATACTGTATCTATGCTATCGGTAAGGTTTATCATGTTATATATTTTTAATGATTCAATGGTTCCAGGTCTCCACTGCCGCACGGCTGGCCGACGGTGCCCTGGTGGTGGTGGACTGCGTGGAAGGCGTCGAGGCACAGACGCGCACCGTGCTGCGGCAGGCGCCGGATCTCATGGAAGCAACTGGGATGTCATGGGATATAGCATGAGAACTTGATGTTATGCCCAGATATCCATTTCAACAGATTTGTGGTTTTTGATTAGGATCTGGAATTGTGTTCTTACATGTTCTTAATATGGATATGAGGAATTATGGCTGTTTTTTCAAAGATGACATGTCCACATGTTTTGAATATATCAAACCAGAAGATGATGATGGTGATGATGATGATGAAGAAGAAGAAACATGTTTTTGACCATCTATTACACAGGGAATAGATGAATAGATGTGATTGTTCTACAGATTGTATTTTGTGACCCGAATATTGTATCAATTTGAGTCTGAGAGGGTCTACATGCTAGCAAACAAGTCATATTTTATATGTAGATTCAATGTGGATGTTTGAATCATTTGACATTATTCTGCGCGCTGTTTTGAGACACCCAGTCAACCAATCAGCATTATGTTACTTTCAAGTTATCTACTACTACGTTTGGTCAGCTGCTATCTTGCAACTGCAGGCGTACCGCGATCGGGTGAAGTCTTGCCTTTTTCTTAACAAGGTGACGGGATGTTTGCGGGGTTGGAGAGGACATCTTGATATGAAGGCGATGATGCATGCATGGCCTGACGGAAGTCACCATAGAAGGTTCAAAACGGACAAATTGCTCGAAACCTGAGAGCACACATTCATCTCTGTGTCAGTGAGCTGGTTTCAAGCAAAAAACATAGACAAGTGATGACAAGTGCATTTCCGCATCCTGGGTCATTTGCGCAGGTTGATCGACTCATCTATGAGTTGAAGTTGTCACCCTTGGAAATCCATTTGCAGCTTGCCTGATGGAAGACCAGATCTTGAATCTGCAATCATTGTATGTATTATTTTGTATGATCAGGCACGGTATTTGTAGTCTTGATCGTCAGTGCATCCGTTTTGCTAGTTTTTCCCTTGAAAGTGAGCAGCCAAGAGTTGAAAGGGAACCGAAAACCAAAGTAGATGACCAGTTTTTGGGAATCCCCTTGAACAAAATACCTCTCTGTGGATATGTGTTTATCTCCAACCTCGGCTATCCGTGTAGGAAGCCACTATATTTGACATTCGTCAGAATCAGAACGCATCAGGCAGTTATCACATTTCACAAATTTCACCATTGGCATGGCGGTTTCCTTCATTTGTTCCACATCTTAGCATATCTTGGCACATGTTGTACCTGCCTAGGCGGCTGCTTCGCATTGTGGAGCAGATCAATGCAGCGAATCAACAACTCTTTTCGGAGGACGGATTGCATTCAACACATCATATCACCCTCATGGAAGCAACATTGTTCCTGTCCGATTTCGTACCAGATACAATACTTGATTAATTCCCACCTCTCTTTTTAACATGCATTTGGGCATGCGGCATTGTTATTTAATGACATACATCTGCATTTGCGTACTTCGCGATTCCGCAGTTCCTCCAGCACTTCCTCAGTTTCAACCCCAGGAAGTCATGGCGGGTGCCGCTGAAGCCTCTGGCAGCCGCCTGCGGAAGGGCTCTGGGGAGATCTTAGACGCCGTGGATCTGGCTGAAGAGCTGGATTTCGACGACGAGGCTGTGGATTTCCCGTCCATCATCATTTTCCGCCATGAAAATGGGAGATTGGCAGCTTTTATATAGATGTCATGAGTCGAGGGTACTAAATTTTAGATCAGTACTATTCATGAACATTCATGAGTTAAATCATGTTAAATCATGTGATATAGGTTCTTACTGGTTGAATCCCTGACATTTCCTAAAGCCTGGGATCCGCATCGCTGCTCCCTTTTCAGGACCGTTGGCGATACTCTCCAGAGCTGGGGAACGTGGCCTTTGGCTCTGCAGTGCATGGTTGGGCCTTTCGTTTGGACCGGGATATTGGGGGGATGGGTCTGCAATCGATGGTCCAAGGCTGAAAGGATCGGAATGTCTCCGCATGTGTTCAATATTTTTTTGCAGGACACATTTGCGGAAATGTGGGCCGAGAAGTTGAAAGCGATGCTTGGAAGTTCTATTATAATCTCTGAATTCAAACAGACAAAGTAGGTACAGCAAGAACATGTACTTGCACTATTCACATAAATCCACCGATCAGACTGGTTCAAGATTTCAGCAGGAGAGGATTGCATATAATATAAGATGGCTTTGTGGCTGTTAGTAAATTACGGGGACAGCGCAAATTGAGTACAATGTACACAAGAATCCCGAGTCACAAGATGTCACAGACGCAAAACTTATCAAACTGGCTCTGGCCTGCATACTTCTATGCTACAGTATTCGGGAAGGAACAATAGATTCATAAATCAGCAGATTCCTGCCAGCACAATGCAGCTCGGAATGGAATCGGCCAACCGAAACGGGATGACCATGTCTGACCATGTCCATCCTCAATAGATCCCTCTTGAGCCGTTCACCCGTTGCATTCCAGTGGAATTGCCTGGTTTTGCATAGTTTGTTGGGTCCAGATGGGTCCAGATGGTCCAGTTTCCCTCAAGTCTCACCCAGGAAGCCCGCCAATTTGCAGAGAGTCTTATGGGGCGACTGGACCTACCGACAGAAGGAGTGTCAGAAGGGAAGCACTCAAACCAGGCAGATTCAACAAGATCAGATACACAAGTTTCGATCTTAGAAGGGTCTGATGAAACTCAAGTTGTCTACCTTTCAGATGGTTTTCTAAGTCCGAAAAAGTGTTGGATATTTGCATTTAAACATACGTATATTTGCTATAGGTTGCTTTTCCAGCCGTTGTTCCAGGACAAGAAAGCTGTGAAGCGATCATCCGATTCTCAGTCCAATACGATGTTCGCCAGTTTGGTCATGAAACCAATTTGCGATTTCTACGACTCGGTCTACATGGACCTGGATCGAGATCGCCTGCAGGGGATGCGCAAGCAGATCAAGGCCATGTTTCGCTAGTTGGAGGATGTTGGAGTATATTTAGTGGCCAACTGAAGAACTTACACAAACCTAAACAAAAATAGCTTGGTTTGAGATGTGTTCAGATTTGTTTCAGAGGAGGCATCATGCTGATTCGGCCTTGAGCCGGCTGAAGATGGTCTTATTATGTCTAATTAAAGGGTCGCTCTCAAGGACTGCCGATTCAGCATGTCTTGCCCTTTAGTTGTGGCATTTCAGAGCTGCATGTTTATTTTTGAGAATGACGAAAGAGTGAGGTCCTTAGCATGGTATGACAGGCTTGGGACGACATCGACTTTGACAAGCTCTCGGCAGGCGGGACCGTTACTACCTATAGTTACTGGTTGTGTCAAGATGGGTGGGGCCACTGGTAGATTCCAACATCCAACATCCATGCTACGGGCTGGGCAGTTGTCAGTCCCAGTGGGTAAGTGTATTCTTTTCTTCCAGTGTCAATCTTTTGACCAGTCCGCTTGCCCCGGCGCCACTCTGACAGGCGCCACTGCCACCAAAGAGTTGGCATCAAGGCCAGAAGTGTTTCCAACATTTTCCAACATTTTCCAACATCTTCAGCGCAGTCCATAAACCACCCATCCAGCACCACCAGCTGTTTCAGGTGGCTGCCCTTTGCAGAGACTGTGCTGCAGATGGTCAGCGAGTTGCCGAGTCCCAAGGATGCTGCACCACAGCGGCTGCCTGTGCTATGCCCCAAGTGGCACCTGGGGCTTTGATGAGAGTTGGTGGGGGTTGATGGCCTCTGTTGTGGGAATACGTTTTGGGATACTCGCCAAACCTATATACTTCAAAAATCTTCAACATGTATTGGGGGTTGTATCTTCAGAGAAAACAACAGAGCACACTACCCTACATGTACCTATCCATCCTACCTCTTTTTGTCCACTGTCTCACTTAGCACTTGGCACATGCAGTACCAAGGTTTACGCCCAAGGCGACCACGGCGCCACAGGCGGCCGCGAGGAGTTTGGAAGAAAGCGACCCCAAGGGGCCTGCGGTGGTGTACTTGGCCAAGTTTTTGGCCGCGGATTTGGAGAACTTGGTGCTCACAGGACCGAAGGGTGGCAGGATGGCAAGATGATTCACTGATGTTCATGCAGGTCATTGGATTACATCAAATACAGCAACAGCAAACTCGAAATCACAACCAACCATTGGCCAAGAACCAGCTGCAACATGCTGCAACAACATGCAAAGCCATCCAACAACAAGATCTCGAGTTTATCAGAGCATCGGCATCGGCATAGATTTCCTATGATTTCCTCAGCAATCCTTCAGGAGATACTCCCAAAGGAGAGCAGGATGTTGACTTTGTTGGCATTTGCCGGGTCTTTTCGGGAATCTCGGCTTTCAAGGGAACATTTCCAGCTCATTTTCTCTTCAAATTTACTACCAGGTCATCGGTGTGAATCAAACAACCTGCTCAAACTGGATAGAAAATGATCACCAGAAGTGACATTTCTGGCAAGGAATCAACGAGACTCTGTCCATGGATAGCGCAGCCAAGGCACTCTGAAACCAGGGCTCCAACTCCGTGACACCGGCGCCGGCACCCAGCGGGTGGTTCACTTGGAGCGGATCTTTCTGTTGATGGGGCGCTTCTTGCAGGAGGCGACTGCGAAGCTGGTGATTTTTTGATCGATGTTGGTGAACAGACCTGATGGGGATGATACAGGGCATTGAAATTGGACCATTGAACTTTTCATTCCCTTTGATTCCCTTTTTTTCCTCGATTGAATGATTGCATGTTACCAATGTTAGCCTCATCCTGCAGGTGAATGAGGCTCCAGCTGGATCCATCGTGGCATGTGCAATCAGCTCGATGGAGGGTTCAGAACTGGGTAGCTCGATTGCCACCGCTGCGAAAATCGACTGTAGATGTTGGAAGCTCATATTACACATATTACACCATCCCACATATTCTTTTCTGGCATAATTGTTGGTGTTGTTATCAGCATGGTCATCATCATCATCATCATCATCATCATCATCATCACTCCACAATATCTCTATGGTTTAGAATCCACTGGAAGTGCAGGGGCTGGTCCGTTTATAGGATGAGCAGGACAGACCCTTGTTGGGCGCAACATGGTGCAACCGTGGGTCTACAGCTGGCAGAACAGCTGGAAATGGAGAAAACTGAAAGAAAACCAACAGCTAATGTTAATTTTCCTATTGTTTGGATTTGTTTGGATCTTTTGCAGTCTTCCTATGTTTTCCTTACATTTTATTGCGACATGCTGTTGGACCAACAATCCGTGCCCGTGCCCTAGGCGTCGAGCGATGTTTGACCCTTTGCGAAGACTCCGAGGGGCCGTGCTTTGAGACGCCATACAGCAGCCAGGCGATGGCTATGGCCGGGGGATGCCGGGGGCCAGCCCGGATTTGTGGCGATTGCATTGGATGGTATGGCTATTACATTTCGACTATTAATTGCTTACTATTACTATACGTATTTATTATCGTCACTACATTGCTGTTGATTCTCTCCTGACTGATCGTAATAGATGCAATGGAGCCTGCAGTTGGAAGGCCTTCGCCATCGTTCGTGTGAGCATCGAGCCCGAAGATGTCGCGCATTTGAAGGCGATGACTTTGGGGAGTGTTGGTAAACAAAGTTGGTCTGTCCAGTGAGGTTTCAAGAAGAGATTCAGCAGAACAACACCAATTCCGAAATATGATGGGTGTGTGTCCAATTGCAGCCTCTCTTTGACACAGGCCATGTTTGTAAATTCAGGGCTTCGCTTTGATCTATCTCTTTATTCAGACCCAACAAGTCTGGAGATATCTTGGAATCCTTGGAAACTCCCAACTCTTTGACACATAGCGATGGGATCAGCACCAAATTTTGGCAACGAGGCGTTGGAACGTGGACTTCGCTTGTTGCACCGAGCTGATCCTTCGGTCAGTGTAGAGGCCGCTGCCAATGTTATTGGACCACATGTTCTCATTCACGATCATACAGGTTAGATCAAGAAAGGATCAAATTATTATGTTAATATTATATTATATATAATTATATATTATATATATGTCGATATATTTTGTCGATTTCACACAGTTTATCACCATGTGATCAGCATTTTTGATCCGTGCATGCGGCACCTGTGAGCTCAAGGCCCTGGTCACTGGAGAAAATGTCCTGGGCTGCTGCGGAGATGAGCACCTGAAACGTTGCCTCAACGACTTGGAGGTGCCCAATGAACAAAGAGGAAATGCCGTGCCAACCATTGGCACATCTTCGACGTATGGGCACACCTCAGAATAAACGAGTTTCAATGAGTTCACAAGTTCATTTCGGGCTGAAATTGAGTTGAAACTTTTGACAAAGCCATGGTACAAAAATGTACAAATCATATTGCACCAAATGATCAAGTTCTTCAAATGATTTGGTGTCCAAGTCAATTTTGGCAAAGATCATCTGGCCTCGGAAGCTACATGAGATTTGGATCCAAGCGGTCTTTCCGTTTGACTCCAGGGTGGGTTCAGGGACCAGCGACACTAAACATGTTGCAAGGAAGTCAAACCAGATTGTAATGTGAACTCATCAACTGGAAAGATCTGGAAAGTTTGCATATCTCCGATCCAAGCCCTGTTTGAAATGCCAACAGGAATAGCCAAGGAATGTCCAAGGGCTTCGTTCTTTGGTTTACCATGGTTCACCATCCCTTGCCGCTCCACGCCAGAAGCTCTACGCTCGGAGCATCAAACTTTTGGTCACTCCTCCACTGGTGGCTGTGCGAGAGTCCATTGCCAAGTCGGTGGAACGGGCTGACCTGAAGGCGGGGATCACAACGGAGGCTTTTGGACCGCTGTTCGAGTGCCAAGGGGCTGATGGCTTGCGACTTGGCACTGAAAAAGATAGTAATCTAATCGAAAATGAATCGCTGCAAACTGTATTATGGCCCTTGAAACAGCTGGTTGCGTGAAGGGTGAAGGGGTTGTGAATGGCATTTGAGATTTGACATGCCAACTCCCTGATTCGAAATCTTCTTGTAGATATATAATAGTGCTGCAGGGTGCAATCAATATAACTATAACAAAAGAAAAAACTGCACGTACAAGAATAGGGTGAACTTAGTGTCGAAAATTTAAATACATCTAGACACAGGGTGCATTGATTCAAGGGGGATACAGAATTTCAGATACATGGGGATATGGATTCATCTCCTTGCACGGGTTCATTGATTCCAAGAAAAGCCGTCAAACATGAAGGGAGCATATACACCATTAAAAATCACCATCCCCAACAGGAACATCTTGTTTCTACATGCCCCATATATTAGCCCAGTGATCCCAGCGGTGATCCCAGTGGAATCCAGTTTGACTTTTCGATGTTCCCATGGCATCCATGGCATGGCGATGCAGGCGGCATCCCTCTTTCTGCCTATTTGGATGGCTCATTTGCACGACGTCTCCACTGAGGCGGTTTTCCAGACCTGGCTGAAATACCTGAAATGGCTACTATGAATATACCCGGTATGGTAAACTAACATGGCTATGGAAGCCATGGCCCATAGAAATAGATGGTTTACCGTTCTTAAAATATGGTGATTGTCTTTAGCTATGTTAAATTACCAGAGGGTATGTGAAATTATGTGAATCAAGATGGGTTTTGCGTTTGACATGGGGAGAGGTCCTGGAAATGATAGAGGTGTGTTTTGTTCGGGCGTTTGAGAGAGTTTATCAGGGATGGATCGCAAGTTCAAACACCGCTGGAATCAGCCATTTCATTTGCAGATGGTTGATGATGTCCCATCTCTGCCATGAATTTGAACAAGTATAACAAGTCATTCTTGAGTGCTTTAGATGGATTATATGCCATGTCTGATGTAAATCTATCTTGATGTTATTTTGTAATCAATAGCATATAATCACACACTATCTATACCAATATATATCTATCTATACACCACTGTCACTATAATAATAATATATTAACTCTGGCTATAGTGGTGTATCTATAGTGGTGTTTGACAACCACCCGCCGCGCGTGAGGCGGGCTCTATGATGTCCATCCAGTCCGCTCCTTCGGAGGATGACACGGTGACTTCAGACGCTCCGCAACAGACAGAGCAGCTGGGATCCAATGCGTTCCACTCAAGTGACGATGATTGGTTTGTGGATCCAGGAATCAACATCAACCAGACTCTTTCTGCTTGCATGTGAGTTACTGAGAACTAGTGTAACAACCTTGGAGACGCCGGAGGCGATGGAACATGTCCGCCAGCGCCGTGATGACGGTGTGGACGGCCAACCGCAAAGCCTGCGTGCGACTCAGCGCCATGGCCTTGCCGGAAGAGGCGACGTGGCGCTGCAGGGCTGTCGAAGTGTGTCGGAAGGAGAGGTTTTGAAACGGTAGACCAGCTAAACATGGCGAAACCGGGCATTCGATATAGCATGATATAGCTAAATGATGCTAAATGCTAAGCTCAACGCAGCTCAGGGGAGGAATACTTCGTTCATATTCGTTCACAATTGTGAGCTGCCACGGGACTGGCTAGACATGGGTAGACATGGCTAGACTGGCTGCAATTCCAATGATGTTTGTTGGTTGCATTTGAGTTCAACGCCGTGAATCGTTTTTTTTGTGGAGATTCTCTGAAACCAGAGCTATGAGAGTTGACTTGCCTGCGAGGTCTTGTCATGGATGGATCGGCATGCAGAGGCATTGGAAAGCGTCGTCCACAGGCAACAGGCAGCTCAACTGAAAAATTCGCGATGCAGTGCCATGCACCTGTGAATTGCAAACCAGGATCACGACTTAGCCAACTTAGCTGATATCACTTACAGCAATCAAATTTGGGTATGTTTCATTGTCATTTTCTAAAACTAGAATAACAATGATCAGATTTTACTCATGACATCACTCTTTTTTGCCAGCAATTTTCACCTCATTTCCGCAAAGCTGGCGATGGTGAGGCCTCCATCGAACTGGTGGGCAGCTCTGATGGCAGCCTGCTGGGATGCCTTTCGGAAGTTGAGGACCAATTTAGGCGCAGAATGATCGTCTGTGGCTCCAGGTGCATGGAACATCTTGGAACGTTAAAGAGCGTAGAATATGTTGAATGATTTTCAAATATGTTAATATTAAGTATATATATATTAAGTATATAGCTATCACATATATATATATATATATAGCTATCATACACACATATATATATATATAATTATATATATATATATATTATGCATGTTCTATATCAATAACGGATATAATATACATGCATAGGAATAACATACAAACAACATGTATAGTTATAGGTCCCCAGCCATTGACCAGCCTAGCTGTGGCTGCTTCGGATCCAGGCAGTTGCAACAGGCTGAGCCCAGCTTCCAGCTGTGCAACGACAACGAGATCAGCCTTTGTGGCATGAGCGTAGCAGCACGGCGAGACGGCGGTGGTTGGAATCAAATCATGGCGCAATGGGATGCAAGGGGAAATACGCTAGAAATGGAGCTTTTAATGGCGCAATTATCTATAAATCGAGGATTTTCCATTGCCATTGGTTTGATTACCAGAGGTAGAGGATGTTTAAACGTCGGAGGCATGCCACAATCTTTGGAGACAACTCAAGAAGTGGGTAAGTTTCCCAGAAGCTTCATTGCCTAAGTCAGTAAAGCATCACAAGGTGGTGCCCCTTCAGTTATAATTTGGTTTACAACCCCAGTTATAAATATATCTACAATAAACCATAGTTAACCTGGTTATAAACCAACTTAGCTAAGTATGGGGCACCACCTTGCATGGTAACATGTTCACCATACTGACCAGCCCGCCATCCCAGGATCGCGGTAGTCGAACCTTGCTACTGGATGGCAGTGGTTCTGGATGGCGTTTGCGACATGCCTTTGACACTGCCTTTGGTGCCAGAGCGGATGAAGGAGGACATGTAGCTGACTTCATCAGACCATGGTCATTTGAGTCATGCCCAAAACCTTCTTGATCCTCTTGGTTGATGGTTATTATGGGGTTATCCGAGCTGGTTTCATGGAGATGATAGAGGATTTTTGGCACTGCTTATTTGGCGACTTTCAAATTTGTTCTTCGGCCTTGTCCTGTTCTTCCACAAACATGAAATTGTTGGTTCCTTCTGATGGCAGCTGATATAGTGACAGACAATAGAAGGGCTCCTCCACATCACTTGCCTTAGCCGGGCACAGCTCTCACATTCCCGCGAGTTTCGGTTGAAGGAGTACCAGACTGGATGCGGCCGCATATCTTAGCCGGTTTCCACCAAGCTTCTGCCGCAGGGCCTCTGTGTGAGGAGGGTCCAGAGTGGGCAGAGCCATGGGCAAGCATTGCTTCATGGTTCTACACAAGCTCCATTTTCCGCTGGGCTGGTTTATTGTGTTGCCTTCTACCCTAAGACCCCTAAGTACCACAACATAACAAAGGATACAAAGGATCATCGTATGCCACAATAGACAGAGTACCCATGCGGTGCGGCTATAAGAAGCCGAGGATGCACCGGGTACGACTCTGAATTGCACCAGGAGCCGATGCGCGGCGTGGCTTTTGTGGTGCATAGCGCCTCAGGCACCTTCCGAGAAGAAGAGGCTCCTGGTGCATCAAGAGGGACTAGAATTCCCCTGTCGTGTAAAACAATTGTATGGGTAGTATAGTTTGATATTTGATATATATATATATATATACTGTATATATATATATATGTGTGTGATATAGTTATTTGTTTGTTTTATATGGGTAACAAGTTATGTTGTTAGACCGGACTGATCAAAATCTGTAGGGCATCTCAGGACCCATACTGTAGCTTCTGCAAGCCGCCAGGATGGCTCTGCTCCAACGGCCAATCCATATGGACCAATGAGTGGTCAAGTTATGGTTGCCACCAAGGCGCTGGGTCAATTGGAGTTGATCCCCGTTGGTAGGATGCAGTAGGATGATTGCTCATACAAATAGGATGTACATGGATATTATATTATACAGTAAACATATGTTATGTATACTGTATAACTACATCGGATAGTATAATATAAAATGCATAAGAATCCACACCATATATTTAATTCCACAATGACATGTGACATGACCATGATTTGAGTCATCATTTACCCTTTGTTGCTCTCTGCACTCCAGGATGCTTGTCGCTACTGCCTCTTACGTAAAGGATTCTCTCGCATCTCAGAGGCTCACAGAGTTCACTGCTGACCATGGGATGTCAATACAACGGGATTCATACAGGACAATCAGAATGGCTTTGATGAAGCTTCACAGTGTAATTTCGGTGACGATGGTGCCACCATTTTGACCCACACCCATATCATAAAATCACCACTGCCGACAAGCATGGCAGGTGGCTGTCATGCAATGTTGCTGTTCGACTTTTCCTCAGGCCATGCTGTCCGTGGATTTGCATTGCGAGCAAGAGATGTTGGGCAAAGTCTATGCAGTGCTCAGCAAGCGCCGTGCCAAAGTGCAAGGAGAGGTTTTGCGAGAAGGTACTTCTATCTTCTATGTCCATGCCTTCCTGCCCCTTGCCCATGCTGAATTGGATTGATGTGTTCGTCAGAGGGTCCAATGACTCAAAATGACTCAATATGACTCAATATGGCTCATAGGGTACCCCAAAAACCCAGAGGATTATCCCCAGGTTGTGAACTTCAATGGTCATAAAATTTGGTTGCCAAGGCCCTTAGCCAACTCCTTCGACCTGGCGCGGCAGCTTCGACAGGCGGCCTCCGGTCATGTGACGTTCCACATGGCCTTCTCCCATTGGGAACTGTCGGAGGACGGCGCGCAAAAGAAGTTTCAAGTCCTATGGGATCTATGTGTGGAGGTTTTATGGTATACAACATTATACAACTCAATTGTATATCTTATATAATATTGTAAGAAGAGCCTGACATTTGGGTTTCGAATGGTTTCGACGATTTTTTGGCTGGTTATTCAATGGATTCCAAGAAATTCTGATCATTTTGATTCCCCATGGGTCATTGTTGTCAGACTTTGGATGAATTTGTCACTGAATTCTATGTTCCAGCTGACTTTCGAGCTGACAAGGGTTGGGATTCATGGTCAAGACTTAAATTTGATCAATGAATTGTCAATGACGTATCCTTGACATTTGCCTGAATCAATCAAAAGGTCATTGGCGATCTTGCTGCTCTTGCTACAAGGTGTGATAGGTGTGACCTTTTGTTTCCTTCGCGATCACCTGATTCACCAGGAAGATCCTTTCCAATCGCTTGGGTCGCCAGAAGATTTGGAAGAGATGGGCGATCAACCGCCCCCGCCAAATACTGCGAGATTCTTGACCGAATCGGAAGGGCTTGATTCAACATGATTCAACCGTGTGTATTGAGTTGGTCCAGTTTGGCCATCTGCACATCTCATCCTCCAATTTGAATCATGATTCCACCGTCAGATGTCATCTCTTAAAAACTTGTCATCAGAGACCAGTTCGCCTTTACCTGTGTGCGCAGTAGGAGTAGCTGAACTATGCTGAACTTCCCATCCTCTTGCAGAATGACTTGTAATTTTCATTGGGTGTGCTTGTTTTGCACAGGAAAGTTGGTGGATGATATCCGCAAGCGGAAGGGCTTGCCGACCGACGAGAAGGTTGTGAAAGATGCGACAAAGCAGAGAACGGTCACACGAAACTTGCTTTCGAAAGTAGAAGAAATTGCAAGAGAGAAGTGTTGCGAACATGCAGTAATCTGTTCTTTTCAATGCCCTTCTTCGCCCTTGCAATACCTAACCTCTTTGATCTCAAAAAGGGAGCTGGTTGAAGCCATTGTTCCCAAAGCAGTAGACAGCCAGCTTTCGTGACCATTCCTTTGAGACTGTGCCATACTGTGCCTCAGGAATGAAGTGACAAGCAGCGACGAGCATTGTAAATAGTTTTCCAAGGCCCTCCCCTGAACCCATCAGAGTTTGACCATTGTACAGCAGAATTAGCGGCAAAAGACATAATCTTGCGTATGTTGATGGATTGTATCATGAAAACTTCTCTATATGCGAGTTTGTCATTTTGACCATTGTTGTTGAAGTCTTGTTGAAATATATATATATAATTTAAATACGTATAAATATATTGTATTACACCAGATTGCACCGTTTCTGGTTTGCTTCAACTATTTTAGATTTATAGTGTATTTAGTGCTTTTGATGTAATATCATTCAACGTTGTCAGCTTTGAACATCTTTCTGAATTGCTGTATTTGTTGTTTGGATACAGGATTTGTCTGATGAGTACTGCACATCGGAACAAAATGGAGAGAAAGGGTTTTCGGTGATATTTGATGTGTTGAAGAGAGTGCCTATCCGTAGCTGAAAACTCCACCAGTTCAGCATGGCTGCAAAGGCTTTGTTTTTTATCACAGACACAGAGCTTTACAAAATATTCGTAGATTGGGCTATCCTTCGAACAACCCTTGCCATGAGTGGAAAATGATTGACTTGTTCGCAATGGTTTCATGCAAAGTCCATTTACACTCCTTTTTTGGCAGTGTGCGAAGTCTTATTGGATTGAAGTTTCAGTATGCTTTCACTCCTCTATCTATTATAGATCCCTAGGCCATCCTAGGCCTATATATATATATGTTGCACAGGATGAATATGGATGAATCAAGTTGAGTTCAAGGACCAGGAAAATAAAACCGGAGGCAGCCAGTAGGACTCTTCATAAGTGCACAGTCTCGAGCCTCGAGTCACAAAATCAAGCTGTGCGAAGGCGCTTGGGAAAGGCCAAGGAAATCACCCGTAGGTTTCCCCAGATCCTGACCCTCAGGACGAGACTGATGGACTCTTGCAACTCATCTCCGATATTAGAGGCGTAAGCCTACAGGCCGGGACAATGTGTGGAGCATGTGGAGCAATGTGGAAACCAAACATCCTAAGCCTTTCATAAGTCTTTCCTAAGCCTTTCATAAGCCTTTAATAAGCCTTTCACAAGCCTTTCATTTCAGGACATTCCCAGGTTGCAATGAGGTGGAAAGGAGGGCCATTGAGGAAGCACACGCGCCGGCCACAGGCAGACCCTGCGGCCTTAAACGAGGTCAGGGCTTTCCTACTTAGACACGAGGCACGGTCCTTGGATGAAATGCTTGGGTGGTTGGGCTGGTCATAAGTCATCGCATTTCAGCATACACTCAGAATATGAACCCTCAAAATGCCTTCACGATGCATGATCATGATCGACATGTGCACGTGCTTCCTCTTGTTCATGCTCATGTCCTCAGAACTCAAAACTTAGATGACACCACTGTGTCGGCAGGTTGTCAAAGGAGGTTGCTGCTCAAAGCACTCATCAACTATGATCCAATCTCCTTTCATAGCTTGGCAATCATCTTGGGGGGCTAGGTGACACTAAATTAGGACATTTGCTAGGCAGACATTCTGGATCTTCCGGTCAGAGGAGAAAGAAGGTCTGACATTTTGCAACGTGACCCATCTGAATTTCCTCTTTTAGGATGTCTGAACCTTGCAATTCTCAACCCCAGTCGCCCCGGTCACTGAGTCGATAGGCAGAGAGTGCCAAAAGCGCCACCCACACTGTGCTGGAGAATTATCCTGACTGGTGGGTCAGGCAGCGGCCAAACGTGCCAGTGATGGTTGCTACCACCGTATTGGTGTTGTTTGACTTGGGGAAATATCATAATTAGATCAATGTACACCACGAGGACTCGAGGACGTTTATAATACAATATAATACTATAATACATATAGATTAATGTAAATTAAGTAGAAAACGATAATAAGATACAGTAGATTAGCTATGATTAGTTCTGAATTGGCATGATTTATCACTGCTCCAAGTCCTCCATTTCCAGCAAGGAGAAGGAGGGTACGGGCCTTGGATCCAGCCCTCGGCGGCATTGAGATCGTGGTGACGTGGTGACGTGGTGTCACAGGAGTTCAGAACGAAGACGATCCGTGTCTATGGTGATCTATGGTGTCTATATCGTATTGTTTCTGATGTTTCTGATCTGTTTCTGTTGGATGTCTATGGTTTCCGAGAAGATTGGAGCGATTCCATGATGGTTTCTGAGGCGCCTCCTGGTCTAAGCATCGAGGGTGCAGAAGCTTTAGAGGTCTGGAATTGCCGGGCTTTGGAGGTTTGATCAACAGATTTAAATGCCGTTTCATGCCATTATGCATTAGTTATAGTTTGATGCCGTTTCAGAACCATGTTATCCTTTGGGCAAAGGTTCAGCTTCTACTGTTCAATTTCTATGCAAGTATTATCATTGATGATCGATGATGAGTAATTATGATCAACTATGATCATTGATAATTTACCTTAGATGTATTTATAAAACAGAAGTCACAGAGTGCTGGCGAGTGACACCATGTGACACCCACACCATTCGAGTCACTGCCACAACATCTCACTCTCCCTGAGGAGCTAAATCGGCACGTTGGCTTCATGCACTCCTTGGGTGTTCCTATGACCTTAGCAGAGAGGCCGACACACTGGATCCCTGTCAATTGCCCCTGCAGTTTCGTTCACACTGCAGACATGTGGTTCCTAGCGGCCTAGTGGTTCATGTTCGATTTTTTGTTCGTTCAACATCTTTCAACCCCCAAAAAAAATCCACATAGCTGAGCAATGATGGTCTCAAAAGTCTCAATCTCCCTTGTTACTGGTGCTGTCATCGAGGCGCACAACTCCGTGCTTTCGCTTCTTTCAAGACCTGGAAGCATGGGGATCCAGAGAGGCACCTCGCTCTTCAGTTCGGACAGCATACAGAATGCAGATGGCCAGTACCATATCACAAGACATGATACACATAAGGTGTACACAATAGAATGCTGTAAATCTGCTCTTAAATATGATGATATTCTATAATTAGATTCTATAATTAAATTCTATATCATTGCATATATCTATTACATAAATATGTTCTCCAAATTCTATGAAAATTCGAATGCCAGAGGCAGCTCCCCTAGCTGCGTCGCTCTTCAGTCCGGACTGACCTTGTGGATCCACCGGTGGACGTGATGGGAGATTCAAAAAAAAGACACTACAGTACTCGTAGAAGAAACCAATGGCTCCAAAGCTATAGACTAGCTTAGATTAGATTGGAGCAGATTAGAGAGATAGAGAGATAGAGGGATAGAGAGATGGTAGAACACCCCCAAGAGATGTTTCATGGGAGTTTTCGTAGGAGAAAATGATGGTTAAGAGGATCACAGCATTTTAGACACAAATCCATGGCCTCAAAACAAACACAGGACGGGCGGTACATCCAGCAACTGCATGAAACACGGCAGTAGGAAGGACGTGGTGTCTGACGTTCTTCAGAAATGCAGGACTCTGCCCTCACAAGATTGATTGGCGCAGTCGTGGGGGAGGCGTGCCTGGTTTGCCATGTAGAACAATGTAGAGACAGAAAGCAGCTGAATTCCGCAACCTTTGACCTGAGAGTTTACTTGCCAAGCCCTTTCTTGTTCTAATTAATAAGTTGGATGTTCATTCTCCGTTTCGCACTGCTGTATCAAACAGTATCCAGAAGTATCCAATGTGTATGAATATGCGATATCTGTGTTGTTGCTTATCTGTTCTGTTCATGATTCTACAGGTGCCTTGGTTTTGCCAGCGATCGCAACCAGGTTTTTCCCAGCCACGGCGGCTTTTTGGATGTGGCGGTGTACAATGCCACGGGCCTTTCGCAAACCAAAGGGGTCAGGAGCTTTGCGCAGCAAAATGCTAAACACATTAGATGATATTTGATGATCATTGTATGGGCTTGTCTCAAAATAGGATACCCCATACCCAAAAAACTGAAGGTGTGTCATCATGTTCCCTCTTAAAATGTGCATAATCTTAATGATACTCCCCATTTTCAGACACGCCCATATGGTAGAAACGTCTCGCACTAGCAGTTTTTAATTTTAGCAGATCTCAATACATATCCCAAGATGGTCATAAAAAGAGGCATACACTTTGATTGTTGATGGCAGGAAAACCTCCTTGCGATTGGTGTGGCCTGGCATACTTATTGATGCTGATCGCGCTGTGCGGGACCGGGAGACCCAGATTGAAACAGGAGCTGCGGTCTGTGCGGGGAGTGTCACTTGGATAGGAGACTCAAATAATAAGGTGTGTCATTGGCGTCATTTTAGATCAGAGTGGTTGTAACATATTCCCATGATTATGACCAGAGAAGGAGAGAGGACAAGTTCAGGGAGCAGATCTGAGTGGCCACTATATACATTTTACGTCATAGGGAGATGTAAAAGATAGTATAGATAAACACGTATATACATAGAAGCTGTATTACACTATACTATATAATTACTAGACTGTATTATATGTTAATACTAGTGTAGAATTTTATTTCAATATCATATATCCGGGCCATATCATGCATACCATGGCATTTGTTGAGGTGCGAGACTTGGTGGTGAGCCGCTTGGTGGCCGCAACATCAGCAGAGGGAGGAGCACTTGCTGACATGGAGGTGCGAAGGAGATGTGGCACATTTGAAGAGATGATTGTCAAAGTGATCATAGCTGGAATCATAGAATTGGATGATGGGAAAATTTGCTGGAAAACCCCATATTTCATGGGAAAATCTATGGTTTCCTGTAGATTTTCCCTTAAACCAATCCATTGATGGAAAGTAAAGTCTGCAACTTTGGATCATTTAGTAAGTCAACTAACTTAAGAGTAAAACCTGAACAACAGGACAGCCAGATGGTTCCGGGTGGCCATTTTCGATCGCTTGGGAAGTCACCTGACTCATCAGGCAGAGCTGAAAAAGGCCAATGGCTCCAACACGTCCGGGCGCCGTCGCATCAGCAGCGAAACATCATTTCACTATCATTTCACCACCCAATTCATGGTAAAGATTTCTTCACCTATATAAGTTAATGAATGTTGTTGATCTCCATGGAAGATGAGTTTGTAACAATATTCTTGATATTTCTTGATTGTGTTGGACCTTTGTTGACTATTTTTCAGATCAATTGGATCATCGACTGATAGTTGATTCAACTTCAAGGGGTCCATCGACTGTTGATTCAACGAATCACCGGGTCCAAGGTGGCACAGCTTGGTGAGTGATGCAGCATACAGCAGCCGCTCCGTGGTACGGATGCCGCTCTGTGATCGGGTTCGGTGACCTATGGTGGCCTGGTGACTGGTTTTTGGACATGGTGACTGGTCAATCTGAGATATACATGGAATATACCTGATCATATCATCAAGCTGGTTAATTATAATATGTTATAATTGATACGAATAATATCGAATAATATGAATATAACCAGCTTGATATGATATTTGGATATATTTGGATCTGTCTAAAAAATGGAGTGTTTACGCGGATTGTTTGAGTATTGGATAATAGGGAAAGTGATGATCACCCGATTTTTGCAAACCCAAGTCACTGACAGTCAGGATGGAAATTTCTGGGTCAAACATCAAGGTGAATTTCAGGTTCCTTTGTGTTATGTCATTGCCAGCTGCGGGTCGCTGAGTCGATGAGTTTTCAGAATGAATTTCCTTTCCAATCGCTGTGTCTAGACATACTTCTCTTTCACTGGATGAACATGCATTTTGCGCTTGACAAATACTGCAATATTCATATTACCCTCTGGTAAACTAACATAACTATGGAAGATCACCATTTTCAATGGGAAAATCCACTATAAATAGCAATTTTCAATAGCTATGTTAAATTACCAGAGGGTAATATAGCAAGCATACTTTATCTTGGCAGCTCCAATTCGTCACGAAAGGGGAGAGTGGTGACACGACATCCATCCATTTGGCGCTTGAGAAAACCAGCTCTGAATTCACAAAACATGTTGCTGTGGTCAAGCTGTTAGGCACAGTAGATTCGGGCGATTTTGATTTACTTCCTCGCTGTCCGATATATATATATATGTATATATATATATTCATACAGACATACTGTACAGTAGATATATACATATATACAGTATGTGTATGTGTGTATATATATATATTATACATAATTGCCCACGTGTTCAGTTTACCTGGGCAGCCATCCTGCTTGACTGTGAGGTGGCTCCACTGCCACTGCGAGGCCCAGAGAAGAGGCCTTTGAATCCTGAACCTCGGCTGGTTTTAAAATGGGTCCAATGACTGGGATGATTTGGGGGTACCCAGATTTTAGAAACCCTGCATATGATCAAAGTCTTCAGAAGAATGGCCACGCTGTTGAGATCAGTTCTCTTGTCAAAAAGAAGAACTTGGACTCTCCAATATTTGTTGGGCCCGAGGAAAAACCACACATTTTCCAGGCGCTTCCTAAGGTGGGTGTGATGCGCTACAGCTACGGGGACAAGATGAAGGTTGAGTGGCTTTGCAAAGAGGCTCCGTGTGACTTCAGTCGTGGAAAACGGATTTAAAAACTTGACAGCTGGAAAGTCGTCGGTAGTTTGCACCAGCAACATCATAATTGTTCTTCTTGGAAAGGCAAGAATCACAAGGAGATTCCCGTGGTATTTCTGGCCCTGTTTTCGGATCCCCCATGGAGGCTGACCTAGACCCTGCTGAGTGGATGAAGATCGGCTGTCTTCGCCAAGAGGGCGAGGCTGCACACAACTGGAAATTGACCATGGAAGACATGGAAAGTTTGAGATGACACGGGTCAACTCAAGGTATACCAAGGCAATAAAAGCTATCGTAAACCAGGGACATGTAGCCAAGATATGCCAAGATACTACTGTACTTTTGCAGCATTTCCATTGATTGCAGCCTTTTATAAAAGCTCACATGGACCGTTTGCACATTGCTGCACTATGCTGCACTGCTGACAAGTCTGTGTTTGAGCTGTCAGTCGCAAGCCCTTTTAAGGGCGATATTTGAATCAGCCCTTTTTAATGGCCAATACCGCAGCCATGTGTTTCGAAGTGGCCAAGCCAGCGCCTTTCCCGCGCCTTTCCCCCAATGAGTATCAGTGTGTCTCCGGTCAGGTGCAGCTAACCGATTGGTCCATGCCAGCATACCGCAGCCATGAGTGTGCTTCTCAGCCAAGGAATGACAGCTAATCATTGTGTTTGTTAGGGGATGTTAGGGGTGGCTAAAGTACATGTGATGCCACTTAACACAATATACAGATGATACATGATGATCATGATGATAGCATTTATATTATTAAATACCATTTATATCCATTTATGGTCATAGGGTCATAGGGACTTGATAGCCCAGACTTGATATCAGTTGATATAAAAACCACCAGGTCTTCGGACTCTTAAAGTCTTGACTGCAGTAAGGCTCATTCCATTGAGCGCTGCGCGCGGTTACAGAGTGAAGGCGGGCGATGGCCACTAGAGTCCATGATGTGCTGATGCGGAGTATTGGTTGAACTGAGAATGGCCCTGAAAGATTCTGGTGACAGATTTCTAGCATGAACAGCATGTACTATAGATATATATTATATCTATATATATATATGTATACATATATATATATATATGTACTATCTAGCTTGGATTCTCAAGGTGCACACCCAGGAGGTCAGGAGGTCAAAGATGAAGTATGGACAAAGCTGTTTGATTTTATCATGGCCACATCGCTAGGTGCGAACCGTTGCTGGAAGCGATGGTCCCACAGTAGGTGGTGGCCTACGGATGGCTAGAAAGCAGGTGCACCTGAACGTGTGGGGATACCACCCAACAAATTTGTGATTTCATGTGATTTCAATAAGTGTTCAATGGAGAAAATTATGATGAACCATCAAAATTTGGTGGTACCCTATTTTGAGACAGATCTGTTTGCTGTATCATGTGGATCATATCCTTTGCTTGCTCGAGCCGATACTTGATGTGAAGCAACCAAGCTGTTTGCGCAGGTAGCCGAGAGGGTTGGGGGCTCAGCAAGACGGAACCCACAGTATTTCTGAGGCTATGGTAGCCCAAAGATCAGTGCATTCATTCAGTCCTTTTAAAGGCAACCACTACGTTCCACTTGTGCAACCCGGTTCGGCATGTAGCTTTGGTTTTGGCAAATCAATACATTCCAGTTTGGTTGGGTAGCCCCTCAAAGCCAAGATTGGCAATTCCAGCTCTAGTATCATGATGTATCCGTCCACATTGATCCCAGTTCTCCAATCGCACACTACTCAGATTCTTAGCGGCATGAAATGTGCTATCGCAATGTCCCTTCAAACAACTCTCACACGCACAGTGCTTGTGGTGGTCTCTGTCACAGATCATCTGCATCTTCTAGTCCCCAACAGACATCTTGTTTGATTGTCATTGATTTTGAGGCTGGACAACTGCAAGCACTAGAGACGCTTGGACATTGGTGTTGGGAGGGAAAGGTTGGGACCATGCGGATCAACATCAGAAAAAAGAAATAGCAGATTTTGATGGAATTTGATTCCAGGGTAAATTATATATAATATATTTTATATTATATATTATTTAATATATAAGATTATATAAGATGTTATATATATAATATAATATAATATAATACATATAATTATATATATATTATATATATATATATATATATGTTCAGTGTCAAAACGAGCTTCACGGATAGTGAGCAGTGTATCTAAGCTGTGTCTTCTTGTTTTTTTGGATGCTTGGCAGTGCCCAATGGCTGGTCATCGGGGTCACCTGCTGAGGCGAAGCTTCAGCTGCACTCCTCAGGAGTTTGCAGAGAAGATGGAGCCACAGCTGGGGAAGGATCGATGGAGACGGTATTTCTGGGATCCCACCAGATGCACCAGGGAGTTGCCATGACTGCAACCTAGGATTCAAACATATTCAAACATATTCAAACTTCCCACGCTTGTGAAGAGTTCTGAACCTGAAGTTTGGAGTCCAAATTTTCTCTTCGAATCAGTCTTTGCGTCATGAAAAGACACGGCAGCATGGCATAGCTGTGGATTTCTTGGAAAGGCCGGCATCGAGCCAGATGGCTCACATGTATGGAAGCAGCCGAGCAGCTCGGGGACTAAGACTTTGAACATCTTTGAACTAGGACCCCTCGGTATGGTGAAATGGTAATGGGTTGAAAGATTATGCAAATGTATACTGAGTACATTTGAGTATATTGTATGTGTGTAGGATCAAGGACACCTGATTCCTTGGATACACAAGAGTTGACTGTCCAAGGATGAGCCTCGATAATTCATGCGAGTCATGCAAGTTGGGGTCGCTGAGGTGATGCTCGCATTGTGATGTATGGCGATGACAAATTGATCAAGGCCAAAAAATCACCAGTGGCCCAGTGGCTGTGATTCGGTTGTGTCACCAGAGGATTTCTGATTAAATGAGCTATTTAGAATGGATATTCTGGTGGTTGTGATGCTTATAAGTTATTAAATATAAGTATAATTCTACTATTATATTGATACTACTGTGTATACAATATATGCTAGACATATTAAACAGCCAACCATGTTTGCTACCAATCTGTGATACCATTCTTTGCGCCTACTGACAGGTCATTGGTCGTCCAAACCAAGTGAGATCTTTGGTAATGATCGTTGCCCCGCATACGGAGGCAGGGAAGCACTGTATCAAAGTCTGTGAAGTTGGGGGCGATAGTTGACACTCCGATGCGACCAAAATTTCCAGAGGTTTTCAGAACATAGTTCTTTTATGTTCTTTTTGGCTCTAGCAAATGGCACGATGGCCCTGGCCTTCATTGCAAATCCCACAACTCCCGCCGGAAAAGAATTGTTGCAATTGGTGACTGAAGCAGAGATTGATTTGTCCCAGTGCATTTGGGGCAGCTGCCTGGAGGATTTCAACTCTTCCCGTTTGAGTGAGGTGACTGTGCTGGTGCTGTCCCAAGCCTCTGGCGGAACTCCCGAGGTCATTGGTCGCTTGTGGCCCCAGCTGAAGGCGCTGCGGTGGATCCACTGTTTGTCCGCCGGCGTCGACAGCCTGCTGCCGGTGCTAAAGTCTTTGGGCCCAGAGGCCATGGCGGTGCAGGTGACCAACACCAAGGGTGCCTTCAGCCGGTCCCTAGCAGAGTATGCCGTGGCGGTCATGATGCATTTCAACAAGCAGATCACCAGACTTCAGGCGAACCGGGTGAGTCGCACCTGGGAGAAGTTCGTGATGAACGAAGTGCACGGCATGACCTGCGGCTTCATTGGCTTCGGCGACATTGGACAGCACACGGCGCGGCTCTGCCGTGCCCTGGGCATGCGTGTGCTGGCCTGGCGGAATCGGAAGGGGCCGGGGAATGAGCTGGCCGATTTGGTGAGCTATGCCAGTGACCCAAGAGCCAAAGTGGAAATCTTTGAGAAGTCGGACTTTGTGATTTGTTCCCTCCCAGGTGGCGAGTCGACATATCACGCCTGTGGTGCAGGAGACTTTGCAGTGATGAAGCCAACAGCTGTTTTCATTTCGCTGGGACGAGGATCGTGTGTCGATGAAGCAGCACTTGTGGAAGTTCTGAAGAATAAGAAGATCCTGGGAGCTGCTTTGGACGTTTTCGAAAAGGAGCCTTTGTCCCAAGAATCACCGCTGTGGGACATGGAGAATGTGTTGCTGAGCCCTCACAATGTTCACATCGCTCCGACGTACAGAAAAAAATGTGTGGACATCTTTGTGCAGAAGTTGAAGGAGTTCCAGTCCGCCGACTTCGGCGGTTTCAGGGAACAGGTTGACAAGTCCTCTGGCTACTGAGCCAATCTGAGCCATATGGGTACCCATATCCTACTGGTCCCGGGCAGCACCAGCACCCCATGCTGGATCATGGCAGTGGTGGAGTTGGAAATGCACCCGAAGACTCTGGCGAAGTTGGGCAACGGTGGAGAGCAGCATGAGAACTTTTGAATCGTGCCATGCAGATCCTGAAAAGAGGCGTTCGTCACTTATCAATGACCCGGCAGTTGACCCTATGCTGTGGAGAATCCAGAAATATCATGAAATATCCAGAACCTTCATGTCAGTTTCATATTTTATTGTATCCAGATATATCCAGATTCTGTCCTTCCGTCTATTGTTCTATATCCCTCCTCGTTGTGGAGGCTTCCAAACGAATTGGATTGGCCGGGACTCCTCAGTTTTCTGGATTTGCTACTGTGCTCATGGACAGAAGCAAAGGTTGGACAATTTATGGAGAAGGGCACAAGATTTTTGATGTCATGCTCGCTTGAACATCTTGAACCCAACTGGAACCACCAGAAATGAAGGTTTCCTAAAATGCATGTAATTATCCCAAAAAATCCAGAATCATCCAAAATCATCCAAGTCATTTGACCATGACTTAGTATTGAAACCCCCACATTAGTTGAGAAACCCATGACATCCAGCGGCTAAAAGGCCAATGGTGATGAGCCTGATGCCAATGGTTTTGCAAATGGGACAAATGGCTATCACAAAGAAGAGGCGTGGGCGTGGGGCTTTGGAAAACCATGCCGTTGAAAGGGCCAGTTGGATTCCACAAGTCATGAGATATATATAGTATTATCATGTATTATCATGTATTATCATAACTGTTATATTCTGATCATCATTATCTATTATTATAGTGAAAATGCCATGATCATTATAGTGAAATAACTATTCAGTTGAATCCCATGTCCAGAACTCTTGAAGCAGTGGAGTTTCCGTGGGAATCCCCCGACTCAACTGGTGCCATGGAACAGGCGACTAAGCCCAGTGAAGCCTCAGGACCGGGAGCTGGTCAGTTATGGAATTGGCTATCTGACTAATTACTATATATAGATAGTAATAATATGCGTAATAATATGTCATAATTAGAGGAATTATAGAGGACTTCAGGAATCATTTTTTATCATTTTTTCGACTACGAATGGATCTGGATTCAACCACTTTCCATGCTCTTGGTCCATCAACACCAGAGGTATTTATGGGTTTTTCAGTTCAACAAAAAAGACACAGTGGAACGAACCTTCGAGATCCAGGACCTGACACCCCAGAGACAGAAAAAGAAAGGCACAGCTTGGGGCTCTGCTTGCAGGTGAAAATAGAGTGTCAGTACCTGGGATGATCCCCATTCCATTCACCTTTCAGGTCGGCTTATGCAGGCTAAACATGGCTAAACATGGTTAATTATAATGTGTAACCAATACCATCCAATGTCAACATGGAAATCAAATCCCCAAGCCATCCCGGCAAAAAAAACAGTTCCAGGCGCCTTGCATTGCAGAACTTCGACTCGCTTGTGCTGGGCCCAGTCTGCTTTCAGAAAATCAGGGAAGAAAACATGCCAAGACTGCAAATCAAAATGAATCAAAGTCTCTCATCATGGAAGAATCACTATGGAAATAGGTTGAGATATTGGGGGAAGAAAACATGCATCAGTGCCCACCAGCATTGTGTTTATTCCAGCAACCAAGTCCATCATCCACCACCGGTGGATATCAACAATGATATATAGGGGCAAAGGGGTGATTAACTCGTGACATCAGCGCACCACCCAGCTCTTGCACCACCTACCCCTATGAAAATGAGGATCAACCAGTGAGTTTGGGGATGCCTCATCTTTAGACAAACCCATCAAAAGAATCAGCGTGCGCAAAGTTGTAGAAACATCCAGAATCTCTTTTGTGCCGTTTCAGGCTCCGTTTCCCACACGGCTTCTCATTCTTTGACCACCAACCATGGTGGTGCTGCAGGGCAAAAGATCTCTTGATGCTGGCGCGAGTTCTCTCCAGATGAGTTTGCTGGAGTCAGACAACGAAGAGCCCGTAGCCTGCAAGAGAAAGTTGAATGCTCCAACACACCAGGTTTTCACAGCACCTTTACTTTATGTCTCAGGTTGCCGCTCTGATGCCTCTAGCTCCCTTGCCGGACGATATACGTCCATGCGCTGGCACCATGGCAAGCCACTCTACCAGAAAGAAGAACCGGATGGCCCGGATGGCTATGATCATATGCCTGTTGTGCTCTACTTTTGGGACAATCGAGATGGCAAAAGGTTTCATTCATGGCTGGTGGTTCTCTCCACGGGAGGGGAGTAGCGATGTATGGGCCTACAACCCTTCCAATTTGGATCCGGACGACTTGAGAGTGCCCACATCTGGATGGAAGGATCCCTGTGATTTGGATGTCCACGTCAAGCTGCATATCACAAGGTGCCAGAACTTCATGCTGCAATGGAATAAATGTCATCAGAAATGAGGCCGAGAAATCCGGAGGGTTGAAGCCGATCACAAGCGTCTTGCGGAGGAAAGGGACCGTCTCAAGGAGGAAAGAAACATGTTGAGAGAAAGCGTGGTGAATCTCAAGCTCCTTGGTAGAAGGTGAGGTTTTCCTATGTGATCTAGGTTTGTTTAGGGGATATTTGTGCTGGTGATTTGGTGAGGAAAAATGCTGAGCCGCTCATGCTTTTGGGCTCTTTTCTTGCCATTCCTTCTTGGCTTCACGTTTTGATTTAGTCTAGTCAGATTCTCTCTGAATCTCAGGCGTGAAAGAGATGCTTTGAACAACCATGCCAGCCAGATGATGCTACAAGAGACTTGGCGAATGAATCGCCAATTGCAGACCAAGATTCGCACCGAGTTGAATGATGTCGATGGAACTTTCTCCATTCTCCAAAAAGCTCTCATTGAGACATGCCCTACGGATCACTACGGGGATTGCCTTCGCATGAGACACTTCAGCATCACTGGTATCGAACAGTTTGCAATGTGAGAATTTGGAAAGACTACGAGTTTCGGAAAGAGCAAGTCCGCAAAGAACTGGATGGGCGTCTCAATGTCCCTGCTGTCACTGATGGTTTGCCATCGCGCATGTGCAAGTGGGCGCATTTGGATGAACGCATCAACGAGGTGTTGCTTATCCATGGTACGACAGTGGAAAAGATAGATCAAATTGCAAATTTTGGATTTGACGAGCGCCTTGCCCGTGAAAGAGGGCTGTATGGCCAAGGAGTCTACTTCACAGATCAAAGCTGCAAAAGTCTACAGTATTCGGGGGCAAACCGTGACAACACTGGTTGCTTCATCATTGCCCGTGTGATCCTTGGACACCCTTGTGATGCTCAAGGACCCTTGAAGCAACTGAAGGTGGAACCATTGGTTGACCCAAATGATGCTTCCAAAGGCCGCTGTCACTCCGTGCTTGCCAAGCCGGGGACTCTGATCCCTAACCCCAGAAGTCTCGTTGGTGGACAGCGGCAGCTCCACCGAGAATTTGTCCTTTTCAATGGCGCTCAGGCCTATCCAGAAATGATTGCGCACTTCATTTGCTAAGCCTTTCAGTATAATTATTGAGACAACCATCGTCAAAGTCGCGATGTTGAGTCCGAATGGGCATGGAAAACTTTGGTCTGAGACCACCAGATGATCTTTATATAAATCATGCTCAAGTTTTTTTTGTGACAGCAAGCAGGGACCCTCAACTTGGAAGTTGTTTAAAATTGGGATCCAATGGGATCAATGAGGATTATGATGCCAGGGCGGTGTTGGAAAATAAGATGACATCATACCACGATTCCAATAGCAGTGATCAAGCGATTGATGCTTGAAAGGGTAAACTTGAGACTAAGAATCTTGAGATGAGGCAACACCTTTCAGTAAGTGCGAGATCAAAACCTTCCAAATCCATGTACATCAGCCCACAAACACATCCAAATAACCATCAGAAGAGATCCAAATCATCAACCCATCCATGACTGATCCGAACACCAGAATTTCTCCAAGACTTATTATCAAATCAAACAGATCCCAAAAACCCTAATATATCCTAATATGCTTAAATCCCAAAAAGCACCTAAAATGACCAAAACAAAACGTATACTTTTAAAATCCATCCGACAGCCATTTGGTTATTGATCAATACGTTAAATCCCATTTTTAGGGGCATGAACACCCATGAATCCCAGCTATTTTGATGTAGATGATGTAGGAACCAGGGGATTCCATGGGTCTTGGCATGTTTTGACCCATCGGCGCAGCAGTTTGTGTGCTGAGGGCCAAAGTGAACTGGGCTTGAAAGAAGGTGATGTCGTGTGGGTGCTGTTAGACCCACAGGCCGGGTTGCCTTAATTGAGGCAAGACCAATCGTCATGATTCTGGAATGGAAAACAACAAAAATACATGAAAATAAGTGTGTTTACTGAGCAAAATTGCAAAGCTCAAACTAAACATGAACGATGAGAGTTGTCCTTTATTTTTTGCAGAAGACCCCGCAAAAAAAAAAAAAACACAAAGTTGTGACTTTTCAAAAACCATTGCCACCCATGCGTGGCAATGAGCAAAAAGAAATGTTGGATTCAGGTCCTGCAAGGGGTATAGTCGGTGTAGTTTGCTGATCATCGAATGGCGCCAGGCAGGGAATGTTCAGGATGTCGCTCGGTGCCCAGACACCTTGATATGTCGGCTCCATTTTTGCTGCGTAGGGTGCTGTGAATTGATGCGATTGATGAGTCACTGTGAAGAAATGTTAGTAGTGACTCATTATATAGATCGCGTTAGATCCTCAATCCGAAAACCACCAACCAGTCGTCTCATCACATTCTCAATCCCATTGCAGACTATAAACCCAATGGGTAGTACGTACGGTATATACCCAACGGTTAGTAAGATAATCCACGATAGTCCCTAATGTTTGGCTGGAAACTTGGGTGTGATATACAACGCACTGAATGGCCATTGAAATGCCTCTGCAGGGTGACCATGCCAAGGATCGCTGGGTCTACGGCAAAAAGGACAGAACCACTCAGACTGGGGCTTCTTGTTGGTGAACAAATCATATTTCAGCGAACATTCCCAACTCGCACGATCCTGGTGGTTTCTGAGTTGCTCTGATTAATATGTGTGCAGGATGGTAGCTTTCGCTGGCCACAGAATTGGTTTCAGGATTGTATACGCCCAAAAAAAATTTGGTTGTGAATGTTAGACTTTGATGCCAGCACTCAGAGAGTTTGGAATCCATCCTTGCAATGGCAGGAGTGCGGCCAACATGGCTGGTTCCCTCTTTCCCACACCAAGCCAGCTGACGAGGTCGGAGTGACGCAGACAGCGACATATCGAAACGATGTCTCGGTGATGTCCCAGCCACCACCACCACCACCATCATGACCACCATCACCACCTGCATCACATCATCATCGTCGCCATCAAACTTGTAGTTTGTGGTGTCTGAGTTCGTGTTTGCGGACACCTTGGACAGAAAAACATGCCTCGTCCTTTTGTTTCAAAGAAAACAAGAACCAAACACCGTTTGCTGCAGTGATTTTCTGTATATCCCCAGAACTGGCAACATGTAGATGTAGTCCGAAAGCGATAACGAAAGTGACAACACGGTGCAAAAAAAAATCAAGGTGATCAGAATCAGCTTACATGTCCATCAGTTCACATGTTCCGACAAAGACAAGACAGTTTACCTTGTTACATTCCTGTTTTGAATCCCTTCATTTTAAAATTTTAATTTTTAAACATATTATATATTCAGAGGGTTCATCCTTGCAATACTTATTCTTGAGAGTTCTGAGCATAGACAGTTATCATGTCAACCATGTAGAAACATAAGTCAAATTCACGTATCGACAATACTGCAATTTTGAAAATTAAGGATGAACAAGGTAAAAACCATGAAACACAAGACAATAATAGGAAAATAAATCGATCACCACTTTGGGGGCAAATAAAGACGAAGCGGGATTGTCGTACAACTCCCCCTAGCTCTTGACGGTTTCCGCGTGCAAAGGTCGAGGGCGATGCAGTTGAAACAGCTGAGAGGACGCCAAAGATTGAAACAGCTGAGAGGACGCCAAAGATTGCGCTGGAGAGCAAGTCACAGTCGCAAGACTGATAGAGTCCCATAGAGCTCACGGGTGTTGCACAAAGAACTGCACACAATCAAAATAAATCAAACAGGTCTCCATGTTTGTGTCGGTTTGCTAAAAGTAATGTCGGCAATTGGATCTCATCATGGTTCCTTGATTGTTTTAGGTAGCTAAAGGTTTGTAAGGTTGGGAAGTCAATGTCACCCATAGATTATGACAATTATGACGCACATTCCAAGTGTTTAGCAAAACGGTTCACTCTCCAGCTGCATCCTCTATCCGTCGGAGATCCTTGTCTCCTGGCCATCTGGCCCTTATTTTTACTGTGAAAAGCTTTGTGTCCAGAGGCATCTGATATCATCTGATCCTATCACAACATGTTCAGACCTGCACTTGTGACACAATTCGTACAGGCCAGTTGCCGGAGACGGGACAAGTATCTATTTGCTGCTCCTGTGCGACCAATGTCATTCTTGTGCGTGCTGCGCTGAAATCGCTGGACCAGTTTATGACCAGTAGGTTCGAGCATAGTGTGCACCTACTGCTACTGTAGTCTTAAGAGTCTTAAGAGCATGGCTGGATTGCAGACCACTCGCAATCATACTCTTGTGGTCATGAATAAAGATGCCATTTGGTTCTTGCGCCGGGGATCTCCACCTAACTCTTTGGTGCATTGATAGACTGCCATTAAACGGTTTGTTGATTGATTTTGATGATGGTGGCTGTATGATTATGTTTGTACTCGCACTAATCAGTCTTCCATGCTGCACAGGGTCAAAGCTCGGATTCAACATCAAATGTGGAGAGTGCAGGGAGACAAATCTTCAGTTTCTCTATAAGTACTATAGGGAAATGCAAGGAAACAACTGTACACAGTTCTACACATGGTTTAGCATTGCCATAATGAGATCAGTGACATGTTCTTCACAATGTGCGAGAGAATTTGATTGTTATTTAAAAATAATTTTAAAAAAAACATGCACACATCTACAGTAACCTCAGGCAAGACATTGTTTGTGGATGGGATGCACTTCAAGATTGATCGCTCAAGCCTTCTATGATGGACAGGCGCCCGTGGATGAAGGTTGCATGGGTGCCTCGCGGCCAATGCAATGAAAGGATGAAGCCGTCGTGGATCATCGGCGTCTTCTGAAGATAACTCTTTTGTTAAATCGTGAAACAAGTGGACAGTGGACACATGGTTTCAGTTTCAGGTATAAACTCTTTGCTGCACACTTTGTCTCCACATCGAGTTGCCTGACGTTGTAGATGATGATAGACTCTTCGATCGTACCTTGAAACACGTGATGATCCAAGTTGGTACCTGTTCATTTTGCTACAAAGCTGCCAGCCAGAAAACAACTCTCGCTTGCGAATGAGATTAGAAGGCAGGTACACTAATGTATGAACTCCTTAAAATTCCACTGGAAATTGTCAGGATTACAACCCATCAACCTGAGGGTGACAATGGACCGTGCCACATGTGAACCTGTCCATTGACAACTCGTTGTGTTGGTGCGATTGTTGAACGTATCTTTGAACTTACAAACCATTTGAGCTCTTTGCATGAAATCATTGCTATCATTCAAGGCTTTCCCCTGGCAACCACGCGTGGAATGGATGGTGTCTTCCAGTACCTGTGCCACGATCTGTGCTGTATTGTTTGCTGGATTAAGTGGTTCAGACCTGCTGGTAGAAACATTCAGTTGCAGACAGTTTACAGCACCGTGCAAAACCCCAACTTGTTAAGGCTTCTCAGAGAGAGCTTTGCACGTAATCAACAGCATACGCAAGCTACAAGCCTGCTTCACTGACTAGACAAAACTCCACCAGCTCGCAACATGAATTTTGCAGCCAAAGTGCCGTCAAGAAGTTGCAAAAGCAACTACTCAACCACCCGCGCCGAACTTGCGCAGTAGTTCTGCATTTGGAGACCATGAAGAAAGCCATGCGGGTGCCACTCTGAGTTGCGCACCATTTTTGTTGAAAGGTCTTCAGATGATTCAGGACAATCTACAGTTCTGTCATTTCTTTATGTGCACTTTGGGCAGTCGCAATCATTGAATGTCATTTTCGCGTTTGGCCCCCAAAGGAAGGATCAAAAAATGTAATGAACAGTTTGATGCGTGCCAGATTCCTTTGCTGATTTTTTGCCCCTGCCCAGCCCATGGACCTCCTGAAGTCTACATTGGCAGAACGGCAGGCGAAGGTGCCATGAGGATAGTCAATATGTCGGTATAGGTTGAAAAAGTGTACCACCGTCCACAAAATTGATCAACATTTGCAGTTTTTAGTCTTAAACCATCCGTTTGTTTGGGGTTAATATTTTTTTGCATATTTTAACAATGATGACCCGCGTGAGCACCGTCGTTTTCGTTTTTGATGATTTCGTTTGCACCAAACCGGCCTGCAGACATGGACACCCACTTAACCCACCTATGAACACTGCGGAATTGCCATGTCCTGTGCGCTTGAATTCCCTTGGATTTTTGTCATGTGATACGACGGTACGACTTGTGCAGGCTCAAAAGACCATCGCTGAGACGGGTCAGAAGTAGAGAGCTCATTTCCAGTTTCAGTTTGGATATGTTTGGATCAGCGTTCGCCAAGAAATCTGTGAGCTAGAACTCTCAACAACAATGGCAACCATTCAACCTGAAGTTACCGGATCACTGTCATGTTGGGTCCCTCACCTCATAAAATCTCCCGGTCACCTTTCCCAAGGTGGATCAAACGCAGCGAGCTCGAGGCAAAACGTCTTGAGGCCGACTTTGGTTTGGGAAAGCGTTGGCAGATTGTCGGCCCTGGAGATTCTAGTTGAAATCTTGAGCAGAAATTTCTAGATGTTTACAATGTTTACAACTAATGGGAAGTGGTACGTAAGTGATGACGTTTGAACATTCGGGTCGAATCACATCTTTAAACTTTGATGATCATCATGAATATTTCGTTAGGAATCACGATATCGAATCGGCATTGACTCACATTGATCAATCCTTCCGTCATGCAGTTTTCTGGTGGTATCGAACAATTACAATAAGATTTTCACCGTCCTCCTTGTCCTCATCGCCCTGATCATCCAACCGTTCTTTTGCATGGACATTCACAGGGGAGAGAATTATGAGCTTGTTGCAATATCAGAATTTGCAGATTCCGGAATTCCGGTTCCATTTGCTGGCACGACTTGGGTTGGCAGCCTGGTATATGTGTTTGACGTGTCTGCCAATACAAGCCTACTACAGTGCCCAGGAGTATTTTGCCGAAAAGAAGCGCGAGGAGGAGAAATGGAAGGCCAGAGAACGAGCTGGTTTTGGGTGACACAGATCAGTAGATGTTGAAGAATATGGTCAATATCGGCTATGAATGAAGGTTTTGATTGGAGGATGAAATTACCCACCATGATGGTTGCAGGATGCTGAAGCAGTGTGTAATTAGCGCTTCATAGCGCTTCAATATCAATAAAATGTTTGAAGATATTGATTAATTTGCATATTTATAAAACAACACATATGGATACATATGGAACATTTACAAAACTGTATATATGGTCCCGTCCTCCGTCCCTCCACCCCCCCCTCCCCCCCCCCATGGGTTGGGTCCCCAGGTAGCAGCCCCAATTCCCTTCTATTTGCAAGCTATTGGCAGCATTTCTGAGGTCCAGCTTCGTATTTGCTAGGTCTTTGCAGCATTTCTGACTACCAGCCTCGCATTTACTATATAGGTACATGCTACCTTTTTAAGCGACCTACGTAGCACACATACTCCTTCAAAGTACCTACGTGCTACCTATAGTCATATATACATGTGCTATGTATCTACTGTATCTACTTGCTATTTACTACCTGTGTACTCTGACAACACTACCCGTGTTTAACATATACCGTACCTACCATACATGTCACTGATGCCATGCATACCATACCTATCATATCTATCATATCTATCATACATACCACACATACCATACATATGAAATGTAATTACCACACCTACCATACATACAATAGCAAACATACATGCCATACATACCATACCTACCTTACATAGGAAATATTCCAGACCCATCATAGTAATCATACATACCATACAGACCATACATACTGTCATATCAAACATACCATACCCAACAGACTTACATACCATACCTACCATCCATACAATACCACCACTCATGCCATACATACCATACCTACCATACATACCAAACATACCATACTTTCCAAACATGCCATACCAGACCGACCATACACACCATACATACCCACATACCATACCACACCCCCACCACACCACAGGGGGGGGAGGGGGACAGTGCCACACTGCCACCACACCACAGGGGGGAGGGGGAAGATCTCATATGGGGCCAGTATATGGGACCCATCCCATGGGGGGGGAGGGGGAGGGGGGGGTGGCAGGGCCTGGTGCATATATAATATTTCAGTGAAACTACCATCATGAAGACAAATTCAGTCAGGCTGATGAAGAAGCCCGGCTACGTCAACTGGAAGAGTTCCTTTGGCTGCATGGTTCGGTCCGTTGCGAATTCGGGTGGCAGAAGTTGGTGTGAAATGAGAACTTGACGATTTCAAACTTGGACTGATGAATTGATGAACAGAGAGATATCTAACATGTACTGTATCCACTGTTTATTCCCAGGCTTTCGATGACCTGCACCCGAGTGGATTCTTTGTTGCCAAACATGGCCGCATGAAGCCCTGAGTAGTGGCCTGCCATGTCGGTCCAATGAACCAAGGCATTTCACCAAGTCTGGACAGAAGGATCAAGAAAGTAAAAAGGAGATTGGCACCTCAACATGCACCGTTTTTGCAGTTGTTGCAACAACAAACTTGTGATTTTCAAACCCAGACTAAAATTGTCATCGGGTAAGGGGATTTCGTCGTTGCAAGATGCTCAGTTTCGTATCAACACTCGGCCAGGAGATCCCGGCACATTTACTTGATGAAGCTCTGCTGGCAGATGATGATGCTGAGTCACTTGGATTGATCCATCGTAGATTCGGTGATCCCAACTGCTGGATTTGCTACTTGTTTTTTGGGGTCGTTTTTTGGGGTCGTGATTGCGGGATCCTTGAGGCCTCCACTAGCAGTGGAAGATATCATCTCCCGCTTTCGAGAGATGGGACAGTCTTGCACTGAGATTTGTGCATGGTTGATCAGGAAAGCAACTGCAGCATTTCCTGCTGACGTTGCAACCACCCAGAATTTCCAGATAAAAACATGCAGCTTGAAATCTGCAAGTCAAAGATGTTCAAAGGCCAATCATCCTCTTCGGCGAGACGGACATGCAGAGGCAGCAAGGGAGCGGTGCATGTTGCTGCCCTCCGGGTCATCATTGGAAATGGCACTGCATTGGTGGATGCATGCTTAGCAATCCCAATATGCATTCAGATGCATTCAGGATTTGTGGTCATTCCTGCCAGGTACAAGCGAATGCGTCAACTCGAAAAGGAGGAGAATAGTATAGAATAGTTGCATGCATTATTTCATGGTATGTTTGTTTTTATTTCTGGTTGGTTTGACTTAAAGATCTTAAATGATGACCCCCATATGACCCCATAGTGGTCCATAGCTTCTTGAGCAGGATCACGAGGGCAAGAAGAACCCGGATCTGGTGATGCTTGAGGCAGTTCATGCCAACTCCCGCACCATGTTGGAGGAGACTGGAGCTGTGCAGTCATGGTTGATGTTGAAAGGCACCACAAGATGTCACTTTTGCAGGACCAAAAGGGAGATGATGAGGACGATGAAGATGAAGATGGAGAGAAGAAGGAGAAGGACACAGCTCATAGGCTGTCATTGATGCTATTTTGTTTCTCGGTTCTGCACAACAATGGGCATTGTGAAATAATGAGAAAACTAAGTGAATCCTTGTTCCTCTATGTTTGCTCTTTTCTTGTCTTGAAATCATTTGTCAATTGCCTGTGGCCCGGAGTCTGCATAAAACCTGCTGACTTGTTCACATGTGTTTGCATGATGATGGATGCTCATCTACTGCTCATTGATTTTGTCTCACCTGACAACGCTGCAACAGGACAAGAAGGAAGACGACGATAAGAGTGAAGAGTCCGAGAGTGAAGAGGCCCCACAGCCATGGCATCCATGGCCAGCTTGAGTGTAAAGACTGCATATTAGGTGTTGTGGAGATCGGAGTATGAATCTGGGCTGAAAATCATGCTATCGAGCTGTACACATCCATATAGGACATGACATCGTCAGCAGGTGTATATTAACGGTGATGGGTCCATATGGCCATCTGGGAGCCCAGGAAAAAGATGGCAAAGACAGCGAGAAAGATAGTGAAAAGGACAGTGAGAAGGACAGCGAAAAGGAAAGTGGAGAGGCCAGGACATGGGTCTATGATGGTCTATGTGCTTTTATACAAGATTTTTATACGATATGTTTGATTATTTTTGTATATGTTTGTTATTGTTGTTGTTTCTTTATCCATTAATTGCAGCAGATACTACACGTCGCCAGGATTCAGCTGTCACCGGAGACGAGAAGGACGACCTGGAAATCTGACACGTCTCGGATGTTACAATTGGTCCCAGCAAAGAGTGTATATATATATAATTATATAATTCATTATTATGTGTAGATATGTATCTTGATTGTATAATTGTATGATAATTATTGTGAGTTTCAAGAAGTGTTTATGAAAGATATCCGTGCTAATTTCTTGGTTGCAGACCATAATATTTATTGATCTACTGTATGTCCAACATCCACAAGGTGTCTCAGTCGAACATGACATCGAATGCTGCCTTTTGCAACTTGGGACTGTGAGCAACGCCTTTCTGCGACAGGAGAAAAAGAAGGAAGGCGAAGAGGCAAGCCAGAAAATTCACAAGATGTTGTGAGAAAGTTGGCACTTGGAACACACTCCAGTCCAAATAGTCACCCTGATCATGACTGAGCATGTCTTGCAGAGGCAAAAGACAAGCCAAAGGAAGACCAGGTGGATCTGCCTGAGGCGTGGGCTGAGCCTTGCTGAAAATCAACGCCATTCGGCTGTATGGAACCATGCGACCATGAAGGTGGACCTGGGCACTATGGACCGTTGTGACATGATCCGTGCTTGGGTCTGCTGCTGAAGTGATCGGTCGCAGGGAAGAGCGATCAGTGGTTGATGCTTAAAGTGATCATAGTTGGGTGATGTTGGGTGAATTATATCGACCTCAGAACGACGCCCCCATAAATGATGGTTGGAAAGTGGAAGTATCGCCAAAATTGGTCTTGAATCAGCTGAATTGTTATAATTTAGCCAATGATTATGGCATTGCCACGGGGGCAAAAAATGACCTCCAAGGTCAGGAAGTCCTTGAAGGGCTGGGAGAAGGACCCCAAGATGGTGGAGATCTTGTTGGATGGGGATTGCTGAGTTTCTGACATCGGTGATTGAGGTATTTGGACAAGAAATGACAAAATGTTGTTGCAATCGGATTCACCTCATGCAGCCCTGGTTTCTTGCACTTTGCTTTCTGGCGGAATCTGTGGACATAGGAAGTGAGAGAAAGTATTGGACTCCCTGTGGGATTTCAAACGCCTTTGCCAAAGATTCTTGTAGCAACAACACAAAGCAATGTTTGACACGAATCGACTTGCTGGATGGCTTTGAATTTGCTGCGGGCAACGAAAGAAAAAACACACACACCAAAAAAAGCAGACCCAAACGCTGCCCGACTCATGATTTGCTGGCAGGAGCTGGCTGAATTGCCAGAAGAACAGAAAAAGACTGCTGCCACAAAAGCTGTGGGATCTCCCAGTTTCACTGTGCTCTTTACATATCTTTATTTACATATCTTTTCATGTGTTTCCATCATTGGATTCTTCGCCATGGCGAGCATCTGAGGCCGTTGCTGCACATCGTCAGGTGCGGCGTGACGTGCGGCCGCTGCAGAAGCGCCTGCGGATGTATCGCATGGAGGTTCGGGGCCAGGTTTGCCAACCGCAACTGAGATGGGGATCAAAAACGTTTACCCTCTGGTAAACTAACATAGCTATTGAAAATGGCCCATTTATAGTTGATTTACCTATTAAAAATTGTGATTTTCCATAGTTATGTTAGTTTACCAGAGGGTACCCTGGCGGAAGATAGGTGGTGCACCTTTTTCTGGTTTAAATGCGTTGGATTGAGTTCAAAGCATACAAGCTGGAAGGTCACCATCGTAATGTTTGGTTGCATTTATTCTCCTGAACTTGGCTGGGTTCTGCTGTGAACAGCAGGAATGGCTTCTGGACAAAATCTATAACATTGTGAAGAAGGCAGATGATAGGGAGCCATGACCTCAGCTTCTTGTCCGAAGCAGAGATACTTGAGCAGTGGCCTACAAGTCAGACCATTCCTTGAGCGCCGAGGTACCGAGAGGCTGCAGAGGCCTATTTGGATCTGACCATTGGCAAGGTCACGAACTGGGCATGTCATGCGGGGCCGGATGGTTGGGCTCAAGCCCCAAGACATGACCACAACGTACCACAACTCTAATTGCAGCTGGCAAGATTGGATGGCTGGGACATTTCTGGGGTGTCCATGGTTGTTGTTGAATTCTATATTTATATTATATATATATTATATATATATGTCATTGCCATTGATTACCCAAAAAATTGGAATGAACGGAAAGAATCGCCGAGAATCACCAGCCACCGGTCGCCCAAAGGCAGCCTGGCCTGTGGGCATTGGCTGCGGTGGTTCCATGCTCATGGAGGCGCTGAAGTCAATGGTGAAAAATGAACTACAGACATGTTGAAAGTTGAGGCAACTGATCTATTCATATTTTTGAGATGGGCACTGATGAATCATTCATCACTAAGTTGTAGATATGAAAAACATCCATCAAAAAAACAAAGCCATGGCCATAGTGTGACCAGGATGCCATCGGTCTCCACGATCGCTTCAATCGCAACAACCAAGTCAAGGACATCTGCGGCAACATCATGGCTCACTGGTAACCCCCCCACAATCCCCTCATGGGATATTCTTCCGATCCACGTGGGTCGGGTTGACCCAGCCAAGGTGCCAAGGTTGATGATTTGGGTCATCCATGGTGATGGTTTTCTCCATATTGACATAGGCTTAGATGGCGTAAATGATGCAAATGGGTGCCTTGTAATGGATGAAATGGGTGCCTTGGGGGCACATAATGGCACATATTTGATGGATTTAGAGACAAACGGTGATATTGATCGAAGGTCTCGAGTCCAAGAACCAGCCTGGGATGCTGTGAGGCTGCATTTTGGGGGAAGCCATCAGCAAGAAGTGATGGCATGACGATTTAATGACTAGTTAAGGTTTCAGATGTAAGAGAACAATTTTGTATTACATTCATGGTCATCATGCTGTTCATGGTGCCTTCTGATCGGCAGACGCTATCTCACCGTCCCTGAAAATAGGGTGCTTTGCATGTTTATTTGCCCTTTATGCTTGGCATCGCCTTTTTCGCATGCAATTGAATTCCACGGTCCACCAGAACGTTCTTCGATTTTGTATTCTTTTTGGTGGCTATATTCGGCAGGACATTTCGTATGCACTGAACGATGAGGTCACTCGGAAGTTCGTCCAGGTGGGATAGCTTATCATGCTCAACTTTGAATAAACTTGAAGGAATCAGATGCAGAGGTCAACACTGCTTCCATACGAATTCCGGTCTCTTTCCAGAGTGTAGAGCACAAAAAGGAAGAAGAATAAATTTCCATTAATTAAATTTTCATTCTATTTTTTTGGGCTTGTTGTAGATTTAGATATCTGACTGCAGGCGCTGAAGCGATTGATGAACTCAGCACAGAAACATTGGCCACCTCAAGATCCGTCAAAATTTGCCAATTAATTTGCCGCAAAAGATTTTAAATATATAAATTATTTAATTTAAATATATATATTAAATATATACATATATTTTGGAATTAAATGGAATTAATAATTTATATTTATTTATAAAATAATTAAATATTTAATAATATATAAATATATTTTAATAATTTATTTGATATATATATATTATTTATATTAATATTAAAATATATTTAATATAAATAAATATTTAAAATAAATTTATTAATTTTAATAATATTGATATTTTTTATTTATTATTATCTATATTATATGAAAATATAGATATAAAATAATATTATTTTAATAAATTGGAATTAAATTAATATATATTATTTTTTAAACATTTAACAAATTAATTTAATAATTTATTTTTATTTTATTATTTATTTAAAATATATATAATAAAATATTGTAATATTTAAATTTATCTTAAATTTATTTTAAATTATTTAAAAATATATATATATAATATATTTAATTTAAAAATAATTTAGATAATTGTTTTTAAATTAATTAATTAATATTTAAAAAATTTAAAAAAAATATATATAAATAAAAAATTATTTATAAATTCTTTTTATATAATTGTTATAATTATTTGGATTTTAGAAATATAAAATAT